AACAAGGACCATTGGTTTAACAAGGCCCCTGTTTTATTTCTACTTCAACAGGTTGCCACAGAACCACAACTCTACATTAGTCCTTCAACATTGGACAAGCCGCTAGCCAAAAACATATGTGGCTGTATAATTTTCACAGCCCGGTTATACTTAGATTTTTATTACGACATCTCCCTTGTATAAATCGGAATGTTTTTTGGGGGGAAGCACTAAGGAGAGGGAGTCAAATCTCATGGCCCATCAAACATTCCAGTAGAAGCCTGTTCCATGAGGATGCCTTTGTCACCAGAAAGGGGAGGCGGTGCCTGCTTTTATTGAATTTGTGTGAACTAGTGAGTGGCTGCAACAGGAGGGAAAGTGAGTCCATCCAGTTCCACCATCTGAGAGTTGTCTCCCACCCTGTAACCACTACAGTTCCCTCAGGTTTCTGACATTTACCCTCCAGGAGGGTGTTTCTTTAAGCTTTTGCTGCCATACTTGGTTTCTCCCAGAAGAACTGTTCCATCTCTTGGTGTGTGCCAATGTGTGTTAGAGGAACATAGGGAATGCCTATGGAGCCACTGACTTTAAAGCTATCAGAATATGTTACTACATTGGTCATGCTTGCTGTTCACATTTTCCTCCCCTCTTAAATTTAGACATTCCTTTTAATTGATACTTCTAGTCAGTTTTAGCAGCTGGCTAGACAGAAGTGTTGAGAGAGGAAGGTTTTTTGTTTGTTTCTGTTTTTAGCTTAAAAGTGCTGCTTTCTTATTTTAAAGATGTGCATTTCAGTGGTTTTTTGTAAAAGAGGGTGACAGGGTGTGTATTTCATGTTATATGCAATTTTATTTATGTATGTGAAGTGCTGCCCCAAACCATTTATTTTGGTTTGAATTCAGGTTCTAACTAGAAGATAGAAGAGCTGAGGTACAAGAAAGGGAGAGATGGATTGTTCCCCTAACCCAGCTATTCCTGGATTATCCGCTCCCCCAAAATGTAACTGGAAATCCACTTCCATAGAGCTTGTAAATTAAATACTTTTTAAGTCTGAAGCTGAAGCAGTTGTTCAATTGATCTTGAAATGGTTCAAATAAATTACTTGATGTTTCGACCAGCTGTGCAAAGAGGATTCAGTAATTAATAATTTAACAAAGATCCCACTAGGGAACTATTTTCAGAGGAAACAATAACTCTTATTCTCTGAACCCACTGTATACTAACAGGGAAGTTACAGAGGAAGCTGTTTATGGAAATTAAGAAGATTAGGAACAGATTCTTTAATATCAGTGCACAATTCCCGGTATTTAGCTACTTAATTGAATCAGGAATTTTATCTTTAAATGAAAAGGCCTGAACTAAGATTTCTCCTAAGAAAGTGGATTTGATCAAAGACATAATGTTAACTAAGAAATAGATGGTCCTCTCTACTTCTGCCCTGCTCACCATCTAGTGCAGTTTATTGAAAGAGGAGACTTCTAATTTCCTTGATAATCAATTACTTGGTCATCAAGGAGAATGACAAAAGAACCAGGACAAAGGTTTTCATGACTACGATTGTGAACATAGTTATGCCTAGGGAGACCTGTCAAACATCATTTCCACAGATTAATTTGTGTGTTTTTTTATTTTGCTTTTTATTAGTTTTCTTACTTGATGAACAAACACAGACAATAAAATAACCAAAATAATAAAATGACAACATCAAACAAAAAAGGAAAAAAACAAAAAAACAAAACAAAAAGCATATACGGATTTATGTCACCCTATTCTATAATCCCAATATAGGCTTCCGTCCTCCACAGATTAATTTGGTAAGGTGTAGAAGCTCTGGGCTACAACTATCCATAACATTTTCCTTTTCAAGAAGAAGGAATTCCAGCAGGTTTAGCTATACATAATGAAATTCCCTCTTCCTGAAGGGCAGGTGCCCTGTCCTCTTTTCCACCCAGCCACCCTACTGCTACTCCAGCATAGCCACACGGAGGACATCAACTCTTTTTAATTTTGTTTTTGATTAGCAGCATCGGGGGTTACATTGACGTGGTTAATCATAAATCATGGTTTATTGAAACAAGTCAAATTCATAACCCTGGCTTTGAAGCTGTCTTTTTCAAGTTATAACTAGCAACACGTTTAAGTATGGACTAGCCACACAATCATATTGAATTGGGAATGCATTTCATGTTCTTATCTAAGGGCTCATCCACAATTCCTTTTGTGCCACATTTCTAGGCACAGGTCAGCGCTTTAAAGCTCTGTGTCCAAACCTGCATTTTACCACTGAATCGGGGCAAACAACAATAGGGTTTTCTGCACACAGAGAGCTTTAAAGTGCAGAGCTGTGCCTGGAAGAGGAAGTCTGGATAATCCCTAAGTCACCTTGTGATTGTGAAATCAGCATCAATTCTGAGACTTATTTTTATTTTTCTGTCATCTCCAGATTGTACCCATATCTAGGCAAACAGCATATTAAAAATCCTAAGCATCTGTTCTAATTGTCTTTTCCAATGAAAGCTGCTCTTGAACACAAACAGCATATGGGTACATGATTGCTCATGTTCATATATAATTTATGTTCTCTTTGATTCATTTGGTAAGCACAGTAATCTGTACCTAGAAAGAAAAGGTGAATTCCATTTTGGTTTTGTATTATCTTGTTTTACACCTTAGTAGTAGACACTGATACCAAAAGTCATAGCATTAAGGCTCTTATGCATACCTATCTAGGAATAAGCCCCAGTGAAAACAAATGGACTTACTTCTGAGTAGACATGTATAGGATTGCACTATAAAAAGATCCAACTCAGCTGTTTTCCAAAAAGGATTGCAGCCTGTGATATTTGATAGCTATTTTTCCATCTTGGCAAGATGAGAAATGTATATTCTGCAGCCAGACTACTGCTTGTCTTGGAATTGCTGGCTAACAGCAGAAGTAACTGCTATTGCTTCCCATTTGTCTGAATAAATTAATCTGTATTGAATTAATTAATTATCATTTCAGAGTTTATACTGACAAAAAAACAGCCTTTAAAAGCCCTGTATTTACAGTAATTTTGTGGTGTGTGAGAGATCTAATAGCTAGCTGTATTTTTTGCTGTAAATTTAAGTTAGTTGCCCTTTACCGTCTGTTTGAATTATTTTCAATCTGAATATTGGTTATAAGCAGTTGCTTCCAATTTTTTATTCTATTTTTTACTGGTCTGAAGACATTGTGGCCTTGATTCTCTTGAGATAACTAAAAGCTGGGAAACGGTAGGGATATATATCATATGACAGAGGGATACCAGTGTCTATTGCAGCAAAAACAATAGAGTGTTTTGTGGCACCTTAAATACCTAACAAATTCATTTTGATGTTTGTTTGTTTGTTTGTTTGTTTGTTTGTTTGTTTGATGCTCTTTGTTGGAAGCTCTCTGGGCAGTTCACAGCATTAAAATACAAAATAAAAACATAAAACACATAATAAAAACAAGAACAAGAACAAAACAGACCCATAGCAATCCCCCATAAACTAGTCCTCTTCATCAAATGTTACCTGCAGTTGTGTCTGTATGTTTATCTATACACACACACACACACGCATGCGCACACATACGGTACATACACACATTTGGCAGGGAAGAGGAATGTAAAGAGTGAAGTCAAAGGAAAGCAAAGGATGGTGGAAACAGTCTAACTATCACAGTCTGCACTTACCTGCATATCATTTTCCTTGCACTTCACTGTTTAGAATCCTCCTCCCTTAGCTCCCTTCGCACATCTGTTGGCTGTTGTCCACAAAAATGTGTTAGGTGCCACAAGACTCCTAGTTTTTTAAATATATATCTTAAGTTGCAAAATACTTACAAGTGTGACCAAAAATAGTCTGGTAAAATGCATTTCAATCCATCCTTGAACTTTATTCTTTTTTTCCTTTTTTGTGTGTGTTATATTTTCTGTTTGTGTGTATGTTTCCTTGTAAATTTCCTTTGGGTTCTGCAAGGTGTAAGTAGCTGGCTGCTGATATGCTAAAACTATTTTTAGCAATATTGGATGGATGATTTGTTTATCCACAGTTTCACAAAATCAAAATAGATTTGCCTCTATAAATAGAAGCACGGATTTATATAATTGGAATAGATTATTTACAACACCCATCCAATCAGGGCCTGGGATATTCCGTAAACAGAAATCATGAACCTGACTCCCTCCTAAGCCTTCCTTGGTGCCCATGTGCATCAGGTTGGAGACTTTCAGTTTTTTAGTTTGTAATTGCAGAGCAGTTGCTGGAGCTGGAAGTCTTTTGATTTTCAAGGATTCTTGGGCAGGGGGCAGAAGTATCAGGGGTGGCTTCCCCACCTAGTAGCCAATCTTGTTTGCTTCCTTGTTGCCCTCCGGCCATGTGGAGCTGACAGTAGGCACTTGCTTCACCCCATGAAGGAACCTTGTGTGTGTGTATAACTCAGAATATGCATTTGGGCAGAGAGTGAAAAATAGGTCATAGAATCATAGAATTTGACAGGACCATGAGGGTCATATAATCCAACCCCCTGCACAGGAATCTTTTGCCCAACATTGGGCTGGAACCCACAACCCTGGAATTAAGAGTCTTGGGCTCTACTGACATAGGTACCTTTCAGCACAACTGGGGGTGGGGAACTGCTTTGTAGTCTAGTAGAGGTACAGGAGGGTTCACATGGGCAAAAGTGCTCCCCAAGTTTTAACATTTTATTGGTTTTATTTAAGTTTGAGCAAAGGGTTATCTGCTAGAAACACAAATTAGTTTATAATTTGAATGAGATCAGGTTTTTGAAAGTACATTTGTGAAAGTCACATGCTTCCCTTCCTCCTCAGATCCACTAATGCTTTTCTGTCGCATCACATCCACATTGCACTCCAGTGTCTGTAACTTTATAGAAAAAAAGAGATAAATTTCACAGTTGTGAAACTTCAGTATTAATTGCGCTGTGAGAAACAAGTATAAGTGGAGTTTACTTTTCTACTGTGCCACCACAATAATTTTTCTCTTTCCCCCCCTAGATGTATCAACACCAGAGGCCTCCAAAAATCTTTCAGAAAGCTGTCAGAATGGCAGCTTTTCATCAGAAGCAAAGGTGAATGGCATTGGTGCTACTAAGTTGACAGTACAACGGAAGAGACTTTTGAAAGCTCCCACTTTGGCTGAACTGGATAGCTCAGATTCAGAGGTAAGGTGCTGGTTAGTCTGAACCTCTTTTCAGGATTTACATTTTTGTTGATTAATTTCTATTTTGTCAGAATTTTTTGTTCAAGGTATTATATATTTGTTTTTTGATTAATTTTAAATCTTACCTTAAGCCAGAAAAGGTTTGCAGAGCAATTACAGATCAATACAAGCAAGTTTCTGCCCCCAGGCTTAAAATCTAAAAAGACATGACACAAAAAGGAAAATGACTAAGGGAGAAGGAAATAAGCAAACTTAGGTTTAAGTTACAAGTTACTCTAATAATCATTGGGGGGGGTAGTAGAGAGTAAAGAGAGGCAGAGCCAAAGTTATTGGTCTCTCAGTTCTTCCAATGAACTGGTCTATATCCCTTCTCTTCCCTTCTGCCTTGTGGAATGGCCACTGTCAGATGATGATCATATGGAGGTGTCTGGCTTCTCAGCAAAGCTGGTGGCCCTGCATCCCTTGAAGGTTGGTGGCTCAGGAACTAGAGTGGAGACAAGAGAGACTTTGGGCTGTGCATGATCTTTCAATAAATTGTGTGTGATTCCTGTGCCCAGCACTGCACACTCTTTAAACTCCTGAGTGAAGAGGAGGCACTGCAATATTTGCCTGTCCATGTTTGGTGTCTTTGGGAGTGCTGGCATGGTTTTGTCTGATTGTTCTAGTCCCAGGGAACTTTATGGCCCTTCCAAATTCTGGAAGCTCAGGCTGAATAACAGCACATAGCATTTCTTGTAGAACAACAGTTTCTATCATAGACTGTCACAAGTCTATCAGAGTTCAACCTTCTTTTTGCTCTTGTCTGTATTCAGTAATAGCTTACAGTTGGGTTATAGTGCTGCATTCCCTCCCCTAAATAAAACAAGTAATGAATCAGTCTTGACAAAATGTGAGGTTTTCCACATTTCCTTTTAAGATTAACAACCCAGTTCTAAAATTTAGTGAACAAAACCTAAGTAGGTTTCCTGTGAACCTTTGCTAGGACTCAAGGTCAAAGCAATACTTGAACAGGTGACTTAAGGGATGTTCTATGGGGATTCAGTTTGTTTGGCTAACAAGGCAATTGCAAGGAGACACGCCATCAAGCAGGTAAACTTCCATGCACCAGTAAGCCAGGTAGCATTCCTGATGCCTATAAAAATTTCCAGGTCAGGCATGCTTGTAACAGAAGCATTCACCTCTTTCTCACCCCACCCTCAGCTACTCAGGAGTTGGAACAGACAAACTTACAATACCAGAATTTTTTTATTACAAAATGCATTATGATAAAATCATCAAGGTTTTAACGCTGTTTATATATAATGCTAACAAGTGTCTCAGTTAAAGTTAACTCTTATTTCACTTAAACAGAAACTGAATTAATTACAGCTCTCTCCTCTAAAGTCCTGACATAGAAGTCTTGATTACAGATGGATAGATAGTTCAAATTTGGTTTATGCCAATTTCACTTTAAAAAATAAAAAGTCTGTTTCAGCCCTTAGGGACAGTCATGTCATCCCCACCCCCTGCCATATAATTTTCTTCAGTGACGACACATAATCACAAACTATTGTTCCGGGGGCCTTTGCAGCTCCATTTCTAATCCATGCAACAGGAGCCGTACTTTGTAGCTGCTCAGAATGGCTTGTACCATTTTTTTAAAAAGTTAAAAATGAAGCTCTTGAACCACCTTGTAGTATTTGTTGTGGATCTGGATTCCAAAGAGAACCACGTTATGACCTGCACAGAAATCTTTGTTTGTGTATCAAGTGAGTTTGCTTTGGAATATGGACTTGCAAATTTCCACCATGCCATGTCATGATTTGGTGATAAAGTACCGGTACTTAAACAATAGCAGCAATCAGTGAAAGGGCTTGAGTGTAATTTCTGGGCTATAGCTTATTTAACTTGAAATTCCATTTTTGAAAGAAGATGCCATAAAAGAAAAATGTGAAGCTCCTGTTACTGGCCGGGGACGGTGATTTATTCAATGCTTATAGCCAGGAGCATACAGCTTGGATTGTATATCATGTAAATAAGATCTTAGGTTGAATTTCATGTTATAATAAATTGAAAGTAAATTACCAAGACAATTTAAAGAAATAGGAAAAATGCTATATTGAGTAGAAATACCAGCTAAGTAATCATGTTATACTTTATAAGTATGTAAGCCGCAAACTCTATTCTAAATTCAAATGAATAAAAGTAATATTTGTTGAGTATATACATAAGAAAATTTATGGAAACAGAGCAAAGAGGTACATGAGCAAAGGTGTTGGGGGGGGACAACCACAAGATTTTGTAATCTGTTGTCTTCTAGCAATATTTTTATTAATGTGATCCAATGTTTATATATACTAGTGTTTTTCAGTACCTTGTGTTGATAAAAACTCTGATCTTGGCACATGAAAAGTTTGCTAATAACTAGAAAGTAGAAATGCTAAAGCATTTCTTTTAATTGGAACTTGTTAAATAAAGTATTGTAGATGTCTGCTTTTTAAAGTGGAAGCAACTGATCAACAAGAACATCTAAATGACCTATTTTCTTTCTTCTAGGAGGATTATGTACGGAAATCACCCAGCAGCAGTAGTATTTCTCCCTCCCAAATGGAAGATACATTTCCAGAAACCATATCTGGGAAAAAGGGTAAGAATCTAACCTTTGAAAAAATGTGCAGTACAATAGGAACTTCTAGAAGCAGATGACTCCAGCAAGGGACACCCAATTCACTAAGTTAAAGGAAACTTACACAGCAACATGGGTCTATCTTGGACATATCTCATAAGGAGAGCAGGAAACCGGTTGTGGAAAATTCTTTTAAGTTGAATTAATTTGGTAATGATTTGTAATAATTTGTAAAATAAATAACAATAATTGGAGGGGGGGAAAGGAAAGACCTGGTGTCCAGGGAATCTAATCTAGAACAGACTAAAGGAGAATACAGGTGTGATACTTCAGGATCTATTGACAACCTTTGCTGTGCCGTTGGGGTGGCGACGAGATCATACTGGCCTATCTATTCTGAATGTATTCTGAATGTTCTTATGTGATGCCAATAAAGGTTACTTGATTTGACTTGACAACCTTTGCATCAACCTTTAAGTCTTGAACATCTGAAATCCTCATGGCCTCCTGTGATTCTATAGATTTGTACTGGCCATATGAGGAGTGTTTGAGCAACACACTTGTGTATCACCTCTATCAAAACAGCTGTGTTGGCATATGCCCTCTTTCATTTATGGGGTAGCTACAAATATGCTGTTTTGAGGTCAAAACATTAAGAGTGATGTCTGTGGAGAGGGAAGGATTATGCTTTTGTAACTCCATGGTCTTCTTTTTTTAAAGCTCTTTACACTTTTAGATGAGGTTGTGATTACTAGGGAGCAATGCCCAATATTTCTACTCATTAGGTGTAGAATCCTGCTGTAGCAAAATCCACTGGTAGTCATGTGAATCTGTAGGGATGGGGTATAATGAAGCAAGAAATCATTTTAGCCATATTAGAAAATACAGCTAACAGTCTGTACAATTGTACATATGTTAATTATTTGAAAGCTGTATCTTTATAGCAACCACCGATGTAGTGAAGAAATGTTGCAATATAGTGGTTTAGATGTGGATTGAGTAAGGGAGTTAAATCATTAGTTCAGCTAACTTCCTGAATTGTTGGAAAATAGTTTAGCCTCACTCTGGGTTGATTTCACACAAAGGTATGTGGTTTATAAAGAAACCTTGGCTCATATTTTTGTTATCTTCCCCTGAAGGTGTTAAAATAAATACAGAAAAATTTTATTAGATTTTGGCTTGGAAGCTGACTTTTAATCGTCTTTATAAATTTACCACCATAATAAATACACTGAAAATTGTGTTCAACACTTGATGCAGTTCCATTTATTAGAGCATCACCACAGTCTGATTAGAACAATAGGATTGGGTTCCTTTGATGTCATTGGTCTTGTTCTTAAAAGAAAATGTCTGATTATTAGCAAAGTAAACTGTTACTTAGAACTAATTGATGCTGATTGAATTTATAGTGCCTCCGAAATTCTTGCCAATATCATCCACACCACAGCCAGAGAGGAGACAGCCACCTCAGAGGCGACATTCCATTGAAAAGGAAACACCAACCAATGTTCGACAGTTCCTGCCACCTACAAAGCAGAGCTCCAGATCACTTGTAAGTAGCGTGGTAGATAATTTTCGACACTGGTTGATGGGTAAAGACACAACAGCTCCACAACAATGAGAGGATAATGAAATGCTGTGTTGAAACCCAGATGTAATACTACCTTGAACTGTGTGAGAATTTGAATCAGCACTTGAGCTTCATCCACTGTAAACTGATTGGAAACTCCAGGAGAAAACTCCGAACTTTCTGATTCAAGTTTTGAATGTTGTGCTTAAGCGTTGATGACATTTTTATTTAAATACGCTGACAAAATTAGTATGTTTCTAAATAACAAGAAGGTTGATATTTCCCCCTCTCTCACGTTAGTTTGATTTTAAAAGCCCAGAGCAGATGTGATCGCATGGCAATATAAGAATCCATTGAGGACAATTTTTTTATTTTTTCTTGAAAACAAAGTACAACAGATTAGCCAATTGGCTTTAATTGAAAGCAGTTTTCCGACAGCACATAAGTGTGATGGGGGAACAAAATGCCTGCTTTGGGACTGGCACTGTGCCTTAAATAACTTGGATTTCGTATGAGAGTTCCAAGTTCACTTTTTAGTCTCTTGTCCCTTGCCAGAAGGGCCCAAGAGTGTCCCTTAGAACTGAGGAAGACTGAAAGAAGTTTTTGAGAGAGCAGGGGGCACTTGCAAGCTCTTCAAGTCAATTTATTTGCATTGCTTAACTTGAAGAGAGCCCTTCTTATTCCTCCTTGGCTCAAGAGGCCATGATTTGGATGCCAACTGTTCAAGGTGCTGAGGCTAACTTGTATTAAATAATATACTTAACTAATGTAGAGGGCACAGTCTATTCCCCAAGAAGAAATCAAATGGTTTGCTGTCATATGATTCTAACTTGAGTACATCTTATGATCCTAGGTAAATGGCATTTCAGTAACCTTAAGCTTATTTGTTAGTGCAGCATGCAGAGTACAACACAAAAAGAATTGTTTTTGAAAAGTTAGCTAAAGAAAGTAATTGTTTTACACATGAGAGGAGTGTTTGTTTGAAGTATGACTGAGGGAAGTAATCAACATACAGAAAATCTGGCTTTTTTATGTGGTACAAAAATGTTTGTTTCCACTGAGGCCTATCAAAGCCACATATCTACACAGGGGGGGGGTGTTTGGAGTATTTAATTGATTGCCGTTTCTGATTAACATTATTCTGATCCTGTACAAAATTGGAGTTTCTTTTTTGTGCTTTTGAAAAACCTCCCAGCTCATCCATCCTTTTATAAAATAATCTGAAAACTTTATTGATTGTCTTCTTTAAGTATTTTTACTGTTCATTTATAGGGACCTCTTATGCTCTCGTTTTTCAATAAAAAGGCACAAAAGAATCAAATTTATTGCCTTTTTACATTACTGTCAGCTGATATTGGGTACTAGCTGGGTTTCACTTTTAGGGCTCTGTCTGTGGAAGAAAGATGTTCTTTGGCAGCTGTGTTTAGTTCTTGAGATCTAAGGTAAGATGGGAGCAAGAAATGTGAATATAATATCTGTTGATAAAATTACAGCAGATACGAAATGGATGGAGAACTTTACATCTACAAATATTTCTGAATAACAATCTAATATTTTATATCTTGTACTATCAAAAGGAGCACCCCCTATTTCTGTTCTTGTTTGGCCTTATGAGAATGAGAAGGCTTCTTGTAAGTATTCATCATTATTTTTTATTTTAAAATTTTGTATTCCGCCTTACTTGTAAAACTACCAAAGGCGGCTACAACATACCATTAAAACAACAACATAGCAAAATAAAATGAAAAATGAAAAAGCCAAAGTAGCAGAAGCAACCCCCCCCAAAAAAAAATTTCGATAAAAAGTATAAATCGATAGCAATTGGCCAAATCAAAGAAAACAAAATAAAAATCCAAATTTCAGTTTAGCTCAGAATCTTATTTAGAGTGGCCTTTACCCATTTAAGTTCTTGGCTTGATGGAATTTCTTAAAAGAGAACATTTCACAGTGTGCCACAACAGAAAGCACTCTGTTCTGAGGAAATGTTTGTGTGGCACAGATCTTGAAAAGAGTGCATGGAAGTGATACATACAGAGAAGGCAGTTCCTTTAGATTTGCAGAGTGTATGTCTCTGGTGCATCTGCATCCCAGTGTTTCAACCATTAACTAATCCAGAAAATGTATAGTTTACTTAATCAAACCAAAGAAGAAGTTTCAAAGAAATTCCTTGGTGGAACTGGATTTGAAGTAGTACGCACAAATGTTATAAGGTTTATTCATGCCATAAAATAGTTTTCTCCTTGGTTCATCATTTTGCTGAGAGAGAATTTGAAAGTTCATGTCCATTTAATATGCCTAACATAACATAAGAATGGCTGCAATAATTTCTGTAATATCAGAAAGCAGCACATATATTGGCAATGAAATATAGTTCTGTGTTCATACTTGTAGCCTTATGCACACTTCATACATTTTTGTAAACAAATGTGGCCCAGTCATGCTATTTTAAAAGATGATGTGAGAAAAGAGATATTATTATGGTGTTTTGTTCATGATAAATGTATTTGTATTGTGTAATAGTGCCTCCTAGGGGTGATACCTGACATTTCATAACCATTTTTTCAATTAAAAAACTTAGAAATTTAAGCAGCTACTTCAAATCATTGAAGACTTTCAGTGTTAGACTTCCTTGCCTAACTGTTAGACTTCCTTGCCTAGTTCTAACATATGGCTTTAGGGATGCAATTCCATTACTGGACAGGCTCAAAATATGAAGGAAGTGACATAAGTAAGCTCAAAATGTTACCTACTTTAAATTTAATGGCAAACTTCTTCATCCCTTCCCCCAGGATTGATGAAATTTCATGGCTTATCTTCTGCTCCAATGATGGCAGTTGGTCTCCCAAGGTGAAAGAAACCCCATCATTTCCAGTGAACAGAAAATTGCCTGTTTTTTCAGCAGGATTAGAAGGGCAGTCGTCCTATTTCACATACTAGCTACACTTTCATTAAACTGGCTTGCTAGTATGCTAAGGAAATTAATACTTGAGCTAGAGTTACATAATCAGAAGCACGGGTAAAATTGTTGCTTGTGTTCAGCATTCCCTTTTCTCCTTCCTGTCTGTTGTTCAGGTTCCCAGGATAACAGGTTTATTTCCAAGGATGACGCTCAAAACACTTTTCCCAGCCATACATACAGCCTCTCAGCTTAGCTCCCATCCCTTTGAAGCAGCCTTATTTGGGGTGGCAAGGACTATATATTATCTTTGTGAGAGAGCTTTTAACAACAAGTGGACACTCTCAAAGGTTTGCCTTGCACTGCTGCCTATATACTTTCTTAGCCATCTTTTTCTCCCCTCAAAAAGGGGAGAGCTTTCAAAGCTATGGCAAGAATTAACAGCCTAGATTGTCACTGGATTCTGATTCAAGTTGATTTCAACATCTGTAGTCTTTTCTGTGCATGTGTAGATTCTCTAATCAATTTGCTGGGGAACAGAAATCACTTATGAAAGGACAGCAAACTAAAAATGCAACATCACAAGATTATTAGGGAAGGCATTGTCATAATCTTAAATCAGTGGAATTTTAAATAATAAAAATAAAAAGCAGTGGAAAGCCAGTTCAGAAGAATTAAAAAATTATTTTAAAACCACTTATCTGAAACCACAGATGTCCAGTTTTGCCCAAATTCTGATATTTATACATTATTTCTCTCTTTGTGTGTGCCAACTCAGCAAGCAAATATAATCACTAACCAGTGTTTATAAATCAAGTAGGTTTAAGAAGCATATTGAATTCTGAGGATTTGTGTAAGGACATCTGAGGGAAATTTTAATATATTTGTTACAATAACATTGAATTGCAGAATATATACAATGTAGGTTTTCTTTCTCTACCAGTCTATCAATATTTACTATATTTTACCTGATTAAAGTTACTCCTTTATTAGTTTTTGATAAGTAGCAATATAAGAGCGCAATATATATATGGGACACTTTCAGTCCAGTCGAATGAGCCATTTCCACCATGAAAGCAGTGCTATTAGCTTCAAGGCTCCATCCTACTAGTAAAACCCCAAAGCTAGTTAAATTGTTTCTGGTGCAGGAAGAACTATAAAGAGAATTGCATCAGCAAGTACCCTGGCCTTCTGTCTCAGCCCAGTGGAAGCAAGACTAGCAGCAGCCTGTGGGTCCGCTCACATTAGTGGCTTGAAACACAGCAAGTTCATTTTTCTCTGCTGTGTTTCAAGTCTTATTTGCACAGAGTTTTCCACATTAGGGAGGGGCCAGGGATGTCTTCAACCGATGCACATGGCATTTTTGGTCTCCTGCCCCTGCAACCCCCCTGGAGCTCTTGTTCATGAAGCTGTCATCTGCACCTGAACAACCACTGTTAGGCTATGTTCACGTTCCTGCCTACTCAGCATCCAGTTTTCTAATCAGATTAAAGCTGGTTTGAGGAGGGAAAAGCCTCATGAAACCTCAGCAGTGTGGGCGCACTGGATGCAGAGTAAGGGGTAGTATGAACACACCCCAAATTAGAATATAGAGTGGAACTGAATGGATTTCCCTCACTTTGGATTCTGAGATACTTCTAGCAACAGCTCCATGAGGCTGGGTTATGAGCCGCCACCCCTAAAAAAATCCCTGATCATAAAAGGTGCTTCCAGATGGGTGTTTATTAGGAGATTGCAAGTTTTTTCTGCAGTGATCACACAGTGTCATAAGCATCAAAACACCAGCCTTTGTTTTTTGCCATGTAATTAGACCCTTTCCACAGAAAATCCGATAAATTAATTTTTAAAAAACACCCATTGCCAGTGAAGCCATATGTGAAATCTGAATGACTCATTTACAACGCTAAGCCCAGTTGGAAGCACTCTTAAACTATTCCATACTCAAACTGTTTGTCATGTTCAATAAAAAATGGATTCAGTACATATTTAGAAACAAAAGTTAAACTCTCATAAAAACAACAGTATTATAGATATTTAATTATTTGTGGGGAAGTTGCTAGGCACAAACCAGAGAAATTTCTCCTTAGGAAAAATGAAAAGGCATAACAATGCTCAGTGCGTCTCCCATGCATTTTAATGAGGATTGCGGAAAAGGCATTACAAGTATATTTTAGCAACTATTTTAAATACACGGTGATGAATCACAGTCACGTTTTACAGCCTGTTGGGTACAATTAACATAAGATGGAAATTAAATTGCTTGGATCTAAATAGATCTTTTGTCCATCATTCCCTGCCCCACCCCCATATCTGACCTCCCATGTCCTATCATGATTTTGAAGCTCCTTTCAGTTTCAAAAACAGTTTGCCATACAAAAGGGGGGGCAACTGTTGGGGCCGGGGACACAAGTCCAGTAGAGTTTTTGAGATCATGGGAGTAATTCCCTTGTTGTTTGGATCCTGGCCAATATTATTAGAGACACGCAGAGTGATACAGTCAAGACATACTGAGACTCACATGATGAAAAACCTCCTTCAAGCACTAAAGACTTTGTGGTCCTTTTCAGATAAACATCAGAATTTACATAACTGACCTTCTGGTTCCCAGGTTCTGGGAATGCAGTCAGACATGCTTGTCATTTTGAACTCATGATTGCTTGTGCTTCTGCTATATCAAGTTTATTCAATATTAACATGTGTTCAAATCCAGCAAATAGTGGATTTTCATTATTTTCATTTTTAAAATCTTAGAAATAAAAAGATATTAGACAATGTTGTACACTCATTTACATGTACTCATGATAGTGGAATGGATTTTGTATGGAACTGGAAACGCCAAATGCCTCTTTCAATAAACTTCAATTGGACTGCTCAATGACTTGCTTTCATTAAAAGGATATTAGCTGATACGTAATCTCATTGCAACATCTCAAAATATATTCCCATAAGAACTCAGTATCTCTATCATTTGTTTTAATGTTGCATTGCAGTTTGGTTGTCCTTGTTTTAACTTCTTGAAAATACAAAAAAAGTATTTAGACCAAAAATTATTAATTTTTTGCTCATGTCTGTAGTTGTACATAGATTATTTTTTTAATGGAAACATATTTTCTTTATCTTCTGTAGTGGAGAACAATAGAGCATATTAAAGAAAAAATCCTTAAGAGACATAGCATAGTTCACATTTTCACTATTAGTTGTACAAATAAAGCTATTACAGAACTCCAGTGTAGCTGGTAGTAATGGGTCCTAAGTGCTATTTTAATTGGTTGCAGTCAGTAAAGATAGCTAAGGGAAGAATTTAAGCAAATACTATTAGAATTGAAATCTTTTAAAAGGCTATGCCATGTATTACAAAGCAGAAAAGGTTGAGGTTGTGGTCTATACTGGCTTTCTAGTGAGTGTGTCTGTATGGTGCACACATTTCCAAACTTGAATTTTTCTCTTTCATTCTCTGAAATGGTATGTGTATCACTTTGGTGTAATCCTAAGTACACTTAAATGGAAGAAATTCTAGCACAATAAATAGTGTTGTGCTAATAGTAGTAAACTAGGAGACTTGGACAAAAGTCCACTTAACCCTGACACTCACTGGCTATCCTTGGACCGGGCACATGCTCTCAGCCTAAGCTGCCTTGTGATGATAAAGTGTGCGAGGGGGTGGCAGAGATAAATATAATAATGATGATATAGTATAGAAATTCTCATTGAATATGGTGGACTAGCTTTCAAAAGCCATCCAGCTCAGAGTAATGGTTCAGTTCTGCATGTCCAATTAGATTTTGGCTTTGTGTTCCTCATCCCAATGCGGCATCATGGACTGCTCTTGAAACATTGGGGTATAGTTAGTATATTGATATGGTGTTAGTCTGCTGTTAAAAGGAGGGAGATAGATATGCTCAGAAGAAATGTTCTTGGGGGTAGGGGACATAACTACTGCATGGAGGTCAACCACAGGTGGGAGGGGGTTTAGTACCGCCACGCATGCATCCCTTTTGCATTAAAAACTGAACCACTTTCCTCTACTTGATATTTTATGAATTGTATACAGTTGTGCCTCTCTGCTGATGAAAGGTGGGGAGGTGGTTTTGGCAAATTCTCCCTTTCTCCTGCTGGTCCATACACTCATCTGCCAAAAGGTATCCAAACCCTCTTGATCAGATTTGGAGGGGGCTGCAGATTGCCTACTGTTCAGCTAATGAAGCCTTTGCTGGATCAAAGTGCCTTCTGTCACTTCTGTCAGCAGGGAGACACAACTGGATACACTATAGATTTCAGTCCTGAAAGGTTCACTCAAGGCAATTTACAACATTGATACCAGTTAGACAATGTTATGAAAGCCAAGAGTCTTAAAACAAGTTAACAGAACAAATCCACAGGCAGGAATGAATTAAAAACTAATCAAAAGCCTTCCAAAATAAAGTAAATCTTAACCACCCACCTAACAATCATCGCTGAATAGGCTAATCAAATCTTTTTGGGAGGAGGCAGTTGCACAATCCGGTACCCCAACTGAAAAGCCCTGTCACAATTGCAACAAAATGTGTCTCTCCTGGTGTTGGAACATGAAGCGAGGCCTTGGGTCAGCCTCCATCACTATTTATTTTGATAGATTCCCTGCCAATCAGATACAATGGCTTTGATCCAGAGTTCTGAAGAACAGAACTCCACTCACTTGAAGAAATGGAAATAAGTATTTTTTGTTTATTCTCCCTTAGCCCTACATCCCTCCTGGGGGGTTGAAGGCCTCAAAGGCAGTGTGGTAAGGGATTGGAAGGGGAAACAGGCAAAAGCCGCCTATTCTTGCTTGCTCTTTTTGGATTGCAATCCATTCTGTGATAGGAGGAGTCTTTCTATTCACTGAAAGCAACTCATGATCCAACCCAAGACCTTATAATAAAATATTAAAAACCATAAATAACTAATGCATTTAAAAACTAGAAACAGAAACTCTTTAAAAACAGTATCCAAAATAAAACAGATCAATAAAAGGGTGTGTTTTTTTAATTTAAAAAGCTTGGGAAATAAAAGGTCTTTACCTAGCATTGGAAACACATTAGAAAGCATAATTGTTTTCTGAAATGTGTTGGTTATGAAACACATTTGGCTTTGCTTTGAAGCAAAGTATCCTACAAAGCAAGCTGTATTAAATTTTGGCTCTTCAAAAAAAATGGCATCTTCAACAATACCAAGAAAGTAATGATTACAAAGGCAAATTTCACTCAGTTTATAGACCTTTGTGGGCACCTTAAGCAAGATGAAGTTTCTGTGTGTATTCCATTTCTAGATTGGTAAGACTGCAGTTTTTAAAATATATATGGTGGCTCCTAAATGCACATTTTTATCTGGTATACATCATAATTGATTTTTTTCTTCCTAAAAGACAGAAAATCTTTAGACTGTAAAATTAAATAACTTGCAGCGGATCTTAATTGCATATTTGGTTTGCAAATTGGATTTCCAAATGTGCAGTATTATGCTTCTATGCTTATGGAAATTTCCTGCCATTGTTTCTGACAGCTGATAATGTTGGACTTGGAACTAGGCTAAAGTCCTAGCTCCACACCATAGACGACTGGTTACCCTTTTACAAACCAGTAGGGTCAACATACCATGTTGCAAGACTTACTGTGCCCTGTTAGAAAGCACAACATAGTGGGATGTGCAAATAATTTCTGTCTTTTAGCTAGATTTATTTAATCAATTACAAATAATTGGGAATTGGTGTTTTATCCTGTGGTACCATCAGTGCTGAATGTGTATTCAGCTTAGCATCAATCTGCTAGGGAGTTTTAGTGTCAGAAAGCAATACTATATTTGTGTCACAAATATCACTGTATGTAACTGTATGAAGTTTAAACTGATTGTGTAACATTATACGGGAACAATATAACCTGTGTGTAATGTTAACTGTACTGGATATTTAGAATATTATGTTACCTACATATGATACCACAGAATAAAGTTTTCTTTGGGATTGGGCTACTAACCATTTCTCGGTCTGTTCTAGGCATCACAGAGTGTCAGACATTTCAGTGAAAATAAGCACCTGTGTTTTCAGTGGCAGGCAACATTATTTTGCATTTTTCTGCATCAGAACACACATCTATAATGTGAGGTTCATAATACAGTGATTGGCTTAATAAATGACAATATGGTTTTAGTGCGTATTAGACCCCTTTGGTTGCAAATTCTAAACTCTTAGCCTTCTGGAAACATGTGATGCCTCTGGACCAGATATACACTTCTGGTTTGGGTGATGAAATCTTTTCTCTCCTCAACTTACTAACCAGGTGACTGGCTCTCTAGGTTGGTGGCTATGAAATTCTGTGAGATACATATTTAAAATAGAACCTTTTGGCTTTCAGGAGGAGTTTTGTTACCCAGTGGAATGCCTGGCTCTTACAGTGGAAGAAGTAATGCACATCCGTCAAGTGTTAGTGAAGGCCGAGCTAGAGAAGTACCAGCAGTATAAAGATGTCTATACTGCCCTCAAGAAAGGAAAGGTAAGGATGCTTATGCTGATTTCCCCAGAGAACTGGGAGTGAATGATGAAGAAGAAATTCAGCTAAATGTTATTAGAGCTCCTGAAATTAACAAATTAAGGCCTGCATCCAATGTCATGTTAAGTAATCTTCCCCCACCCTCAGCTCAAGGATTTATTATTTTGCAATAGGATTTTCTCACCTTCTTTTTCCCTTGCACATCCCCTAAATCTGGTATGGGTTTCCCCCCAACCCTCCAAAGCAGATTTGGGAAGGAAGGAAAGTCCCATTACATAAGTGTATGTTTTTAAGCTGACAGTACAGTTAGGTAAAGGTAAAGGTACCCTTGCCCATACGGGCCAGTCGTGTCTGACTCTGGGGTTGTGCGCCCATCTCACTTAAGAGGCTGGGGGCCAGCGCTGTCCGAAGACACTTCCGGGTCACGTGGCCAGCGTGACAAGCTGCATCTGGCGAGCCAGCACAGCACACGGAAACGCCGTTTACCTTCCCGCTAGTAAGCGGTCCCTATTTATCTACTTGCACCCGGGGGTGCTTTCGAACTGCTAGGTTGGCAGGCGCTGGGACTGAACGACAGGAGCGCACCCCGCCGCGGGGATTCGAACCGCCGACCTGACGATCGGCAAGTCCTAGGCGCTGAGGTTTTACCCACAGCGCCATCCACATTCCGTAACAGTACAGTTACTTATTGCTATATTGGATCAAGTCAAGAATAGCACCATAAAACCATACATTTCTTTGAGTTGTTGAGTTGCATGTAATTCTAGTCATTTGAGAATGGTGGAAATGCTTCAGTCAGTTCTTACTGAACTCTTTGGAACTTCTTTCTGAGTAAGAATGCTTTTAGGATTGTGTTGTCAGATTTCTAATTGAGTGCTTTCTTCTAGATTAAGTAAAGGACTATGAAAACATTTCACAAATTTAATTGCACTGATTTAATCTATAAGGCGGCTGGTTAACTTTACACTTTGGATGTATTGGGTTGCAAACTACTTCTTCTCCTTGCCTGACCCCCAAATCTGTTCCAGAATCTTTCCCAACCCTCTAAAGCACATTTTGAGGTTGAACAGCTGGTTGCAAGGGAGATAAAAAGTGGGGGGAGTTGCGCTGCTCTTCATAAACTCCATAAGTCCTGTGCAAGGGCTTCTGCTTGTGCAGTTGGGTTTCCCCCACTGCATGCTCCCTGAAATTGACTCTGTACGGTCAGAGATTGTTCCATTTGCCAAGCTGATATACTTGTGCAGACAGAACATTCGTAATAGTGTGACATCAATTTCTACCCTTTTTCTTTACTGATAATTTTTTTTAGATGTTAGTAAATTGATTTTCTAGAAAGACCTACTAATGCTATGGGCTCTTCTCAATTTTTATAGCTCTGTTTTTGTTGCCGAACAAGGAGGTTTTCTTTCTTCACCTGGTCCTATACCTGTCAGTTTTGTAAAAGGTAAGCCTTTGGTTTTCATAGTAACCAATAACTAGTGAAGGCCCTGGAGCAGAATTCTGTTTGTTTTATTTTTAACTTTTTGTGTTACATTTAGTATGTAATTGAAGGAGAAAAGGTGATATTTGTACTGTATTTAGGAGTAAATGAGAATTTGAACAGGGAGTTTTTGTGTTTTCCTAAATAATGATTAGGGATGATTAGCAAATGCTCATTATGGGATAGGACATAAGACAGAATAAAAGCACTTTCAGATTTAGTGTTAATATTTGAAGTTGGTAGAATGACATAAAAAGAACAAGTTGCCAAAGAAAGGAGTAGATGCTACAACAACATATCTCAAATGCCATGGTTGTGCAAGTTTATCAGAATCAATATCTTAAGAGCAGGAAATGGATGAATGATATTTAGTCCCCTTGGTGTGCACATACATGCTCACTAATACAAATTGCTTGCATGAAATTATAAGAAAACATTGACACTCAAGATTAATGTTCCTGCGAGTTTCACGTAAGAGCCATTTAAAATTTGCCATCTAATCTTCTAGGATGTGATTAAATAAAAAGAAGAGTGCTGATGTCGAGTCTGAATGGGACTCTTGGGTTTTTCACACATTCCGTTCCTAATTTCCTGATGATGGTTAAGATCTATAGGACTGCCTATGGAAACATGCCAATCATGGCTTGTGAGGTCCCTAAACTTCTCATCTAAGCTACAGCCCTAACATTAGTCAACACTTTTGTAGCTCAGGACTGCAGTTGAAACATGAAGATGGGCAAGACCCAGGCCACGTGCTCAAGATTCTTTGGATGACAATCCTTTGTTTTTATTTTTTTGCCTCCTCCTGAGTTCTGGTATTTAAGCTAAAGCCAGTGAAATTCAAAACTAGTTCGTAGCTCGTAAAACATTTTTACTAGGAAAGAACAATACAACTTTTGAAGAGACGTGTCCAGTGCTGTCCTGCAAAAGTATTACTACATTTAACTGAGTAAGTCACATATTTTCTTTGTCTTTTATAGGCCTGTATGCTCACAGTGTTGCAAGAAGGTAAGTTCAGAAACCTATAAATCCTTCATCTTCTTAAAATCTGTGGTGTGATTCATCAGGAACAGCTGCTTTACTATCTTCATAGTACAACGAAGTACAAAGTACAACAGGAAAAAAACTCAGCAGAAACCGCCGTCCCCCAAAAAATCAGTTTACAGCATCCCGCTTTGAATATACTTGCCATATATACACAGTAGTGTCCATGCACTCATATTTCTTTTCTTACAACATTTGCAATATATGTATTTGCAACATTTTTTAAAACTGGACACCTGTAGAAGTCTGCAGGGAATGTATTGCGTTGGTATCTCTATAGTTCACAAATTCTAAGTCATTGCCATTGGGAATATGCTTGCGAAAGTTGTACAAGCCCACATAATGGCACTGTCTCTAGGTAGCTCAATCTATAATTGTTATTCTCTTTCCTTTGTAACAGATGCGCCTGCCATCAAAGCCATATTCTACACTTCCCATCTTTTCTCTGGGACCTTCGGCTTTACAGAAAGGAGAGAGTTTTATGAGGCCAGATAAACCTTCCACTAGCCATCACCGGTCCCTTAGGGGCATGCCAAGGTAAGTGATACTTCTGATTAAGATTAGACTGCTTATCTACTACCAGCTACTTTCATGGACTATATTCCATAGTTCATTTTATTTGTGGGCAGTGAATTGTTACATATATTTATTTCTAAGATGCTCTTGTAGATGCTTACTATTATTCTCTCTTTCTTTAAAAAAAATACAATTAAATGGGGGGAGCTGTCAAAATTTAAATAAAACACTGCAGAATTAGAATTAGGTGACATTTGCAAAATTAAACACAAAATTGTATTCTATTTCAAAAGAAAATAACCAAAGTTAAAAGTGGGGAAAATAGGCAAGAATCTATATAAAATGGATTAAATAGTAATTTAACCATCCTTGCCAAACCTGACTTCAAATCAGTATAAAACAACAATATATTTTGCTCAACCATAGAGCTTTGTTCGATTCCATAAATGACTACCAATTTGTGGCAAATTTATCTTTGGATTTTCTCTTTAAATCTGACATAATGCATTAACCTGGCTATTCATTAATAGTTGATGTGGTTGCTAATCACCATTTTGCAAACAGTTCTTACTTCCAACAGATGCCATTTTCTTATGTTCTTGTCATACTAAACCACCTGTATATTTTAACAGAAAAAGCAAAAAAATAACACTGAGACCAATGGTATATTTATTTTCCTTTCCCCCCCCCTTTTTCTTTTTGGTCAATGAACATTCCCACCACATGTGCAAGAAGTCACCTCTCTTTTTCTCACACTTCCAGCAAATAGATGTATACTGCCACAAATGTACTATTACATTTTTAGAAGTGTACTATAGGTACTTGTGAAAGCTTTTGACCCTATCCTTCAACAAGTTTCAAGGCAGTGATCAAAAGGTGTTCAATCTATAGAAGCATTTCAACCTCCCTTTTCTTGTGGGAGCCCTTCAAACTCCCTGAAAAGCCACCCCCAAAGGTTGGTGAGCTTCCTGGTGTAGCTTTTGAAAAAGGAAATTGGCACACCTCCCTCCCCTAAAAAAACAACAGACGCATCATAATTTCTTTTCATCACCACCCTCCTAATTCTCCCAATCAGCTCCACATCGTCCCAATTATTTAGAGCAGATTTTGGAGGTGTACAAAGGGCTGCAAGATTATAGCAGAAGGGCAAGTTTCATTTGCCTGAACAGGATGCTGCAATCGGATATAATGTTTAGTTTTTAAGGTTTTGCTGAAAGAAAAGAACTTGCTTAGCTTTTTAAAAATTGAATTTGCAATTGTCTTTTTTCGTACTCACTAGTCATAAAATTTGTTTCATTATTTGTTAGAGAAACATAACTAGTTTTTCAACTTAAGGTTGCCGTTAAAGTTATAGAAACAATGTGCAAAATCATTTATGAATCTAATTTGCAAAGGTTTATTTTTCTCTTGCTTGTATATAACCATTTTCTAAAATCATAAAAGCCTTCATAACTGTTAGCCAAATAGCACAATTTTGCTATGATTAATCTGTGTTTTGCATTAATCATAACTGGCCACAAGAAACACCTCTCTCCCCTGACACAATATGTTAGGAAGTAAAAAGACCTGTGAGAGACAGATTTGTTATTTTAGAGTGCACAGAGTTCACCTCTCTAGTACAATTGGAAAGCTAAATAACCCTAATAAGAATAGAATTGTTGCTTTGTTTTCAGGTTATCCTCAAAGTCCAAGTCTGTAGATAAATCAGATGAAGAAGCACTATTTCCAAAAGAGCTAATGGAGGACTGGAGCACCATGGAAGTGTGTGTGGACTGCAAAAAGTTCATTTCGGAAATCATCAATTCAAGCCGCCGCAGCCTCTCCCTGGCTAACAAGCGAGCCAGATTAAAAAGGAAAACCCAGTCGTTCTACATGTCCTCCCCAGGCACCTCGGAGTATTGCCCTTCTGAGAGGACTATCAATGAGATCTGAGCTGTGTGCCTTTCTCTTTGCTTTGTATTCATGAAGTCTTGAGAGAACTCGGTGAAACCAGAATGTCTTTTTTCCTTTGTTCCACCCGACAGCTTACATTTGCATTAGATCACTGGTTTTGCCACTCCATAATTTATACACAAAGAGAAAGTAAGAAATTGGGCTATGCAGCAGGTCAGTAGATAAAACTGTTTGCACAGGAAGAAAATGTCTGTTTGAAATTGTTGCCTTTTTGTATGTGGCACAGTGTACAAAGAGCGCCTTTACTTGCATTATTTTCCCCAGTGTTCATTCCTTCGATAATTTTCAAGAAAAGAGTCAAAATATAGTTACGGAACTACACAATGGTGTTAGCACAGTTGTAATTATCGAACTATGCTGGCATTTACTACCAACTAACATTTACATTTCAGTCTTTGTGGCACACAAGCCCATGCTTGTACAGAAAATTGACAGGGGCCATGGCTCTTAATGCCTTATGGTATAGCACAAAGCTTTAAAGGATGTGCTCAGCATGGTCGATCAGTCCAAACTAGATAGTTTATACTGTCTGGGTTCTAGAATAAAATATTGAATAAGCTAAGAAGCCTGGATTGGGTAACTATTTCCTGCAGCTGCTACTTGTTCCAGTATAATGATAAGTGTGTTATGTCTAAAGTAATAGCAGTTTCTTCCCTATCTTGAATGTATTCTGAATGTTAGTTGCAGTAGTTGTTAGTTGTAGCTTTTAGACATAAGCAAAATACTCTCTATGGAGGGGATGCAAGATAAGTGCAACTTTTTAATATTAATGAGTTTTTTGTAAAATTAAGAACATTCTCTGGGTGACAATCCTGAGAAAATAGATCATATGTATATTTGTATTATAGTAGAACACCTAAGTACTGCTATAATTAAGGGTCTGGAAGCATATCCATTATAAGCCCCATTTTTACAGGGGTTTGTATCTTGGCTGTAAAGAAATTTTGTACCCTGCAAAAATTTGAGGCAGGAGTGTCTCAGATTGAGAGGTAGGTTTTTTTTAAGGTTTGGAGAAACACTGTCTAGCTGTTTTGAAGTTCCAGGAATATTACCAAACATCACATTTTTGCACTCTTTTATATTCTGATTTTTAAACGTAAACAAACTGGGGCTTAGTGTAGAGTGTGCAGCTAGGTTGTTTTTATATTTATAACAGCACAGTTATAAATATTTGCAAATCATCCAGTGGACAGGAACAATAATCCTTTCACGTTTTTAATGGCTAGGTCCATATTTAATATCAGCATTCAGTATATGATAGGAAGGATTCATATATTTGAATTTTCATTTTCGCTTTTTAGGTTGATGAGAGACATCTCAGTTCACTTCCAAAATAAGCAGAATCTGCTTTAATGCAACCTCTATCCAGACATTTTTTAAATGAAAATACGCTGAGAAATGAATCTTATCTTCCAAGAAAACCAAAACATTAGAGGCCAAGAAATAGAGCTACTATGTAAAGACTAAAAGCCTGATATTGCTGCTCTAATATCTGAAATTTAACTAACTGCACAAGCACAAATGTTTGGGGTCTTAGGATGCAATGGGGTCTCTGGTCCAATTATTCTTAAGCAACTCAGCCAAGACAGTGGGACTACTCTATTTTCATTGGATAAACAAATGTAGGCCGTGTCTACACTACAGACAATTGGCACAATTGAGGAATTCTCACTGGCAAAATAAAACACTCCTACAGGGAAAGCCACAAGAGTTCCACCAATGGACATAACCCATGGTCAATAACAGCAGAAGTTAAATTTCACTTTGTTAATTGACATGATAAAATTGCATTGTGATGACATCAGACCGAGAAGTATTGTTAGACTATAGTCTTTTTTTCCATTAATCAGCTTGGAAAAAATGGACTGAAAGCACCTATTCCTTTTATATTTTGCTACATTTTATTAATAAATGCCACAAATTGTGTGGAAGCAAAGGGGGTCACCTCACAGCTCACAAAGGCATCAGCAATAGCTCCCAGTAAGGTGAGGTATCAGCTAGGAGATTCTCACCCTTCCAGGTTTTCTATGTCATCTCTTCTCCTTCCATGCAGCTAACCTGCTCTATTTCCTCAATCTGGGGTCTAGAACCGGTTGTCTAGCTACTTTTCTAGAGAAATAAGGTGTATTCTGATATGTGCCTGGACACACAAATGCATCTCTGGATGGAAAGCCTGCTCCCAACAACCCCATCTATATCAGCCCACACGCTCAGTCTCCAGCCTTTCCCAGGTAGAGCAGGGTACCCAATCATGCATGATGCTCTACTCACGTTTAAGGGAATGCAAGTACTATGCCCTTATAGACCTATCCTGCTCAACGTGGGGAAGTTTTGGAACAAATGTGTGGGGCAGGGCTTGCATGTGTGCTATCTCCTGCCTACAGATAGAGTTCACGTGTTCAGACAAATGCCTGAATTCTCTTTGTAAAATGTGGCTGGGACTCATGTTGTCCCCTCATTCTATTAAATGTTCTTTAGATTTTCTAGGCTCTTTATTAGTATTACACACATGAACTTTGGTGCTCCTATGGGTCCAGTCAAATTACAGGGAGTGAAGTGGGGATCTTTCTGGTAGAGGGCCCCTCAAATTCTAAGGTGAGGGGTTTGAGGTTGAAGTGCTGACAGTATGACTCACCTTGAATGCCAGTGATATAAGCGGAGGCTACTTACTTGTCTCAATAATTTTATCCTTGCACACAGACAACACAATTCCTTCTTTCTTTCCCTTTGACAATGCACTTACAGCTACATGCAGCATTCGATCTTAATAGCAAGCTCGATATTTTTCAGTCACCACTTTCCAAGTGCCCTTTGCCTTTCTCATTTCCTCTTTGACTCTTTCTGTCAGGATGAAGGAAATTTGCTGGCCTTTAATTTGGGGGAGGAAGTTCCACAAAGTTGTTGTTTGAAGCCTGAGGGGAAACTTGGTTCCTTGAGCGTTGTGTTGTGTGACATAACATTCTTGTCACCTTGCCATTAATATTCCACCTGTGGTCCAAGTAATAAGGATAGTCACTCTGTTTCTCCATATCACAGGAAGCTGCCTGTAACGTGAAGCTTTTTGGTGCCCTACTCTGTTTCAAAATAGTCATATCAACTTGTAAATATGTGTAAAATATATTAACTTCGGAGAACCACCACTCTTTGTAGTGAGAATCAACCTTCTCATGAAGAGTGAAGAGGAAATTTAAAATAAGCTAAATGAGTCAACTTCTGTGTTATCAGAAATCATACCAATGTTTAAATGAGTTTTAAAGAGGAGAAAGGCTATCTAGAACAGCAATCTTGGCACCATAAGAACTTTAAAGCATTTATTTTTCTAATTACTAATAAATCTAGGAAGTACCCCAAGTGTATTGTAGAAAACCTGCATCCAGTAAAATGATTGTGTGTTTTGTACATGAAAATATTTTGTGGGAAATTCCAAGCTAGCTCCGCTCTGCAGAAGGTGGCGACAAAGCCTTTGCAATGCCTTGGTGTGCAGACAGAACTTTTATGCATCCCTGGTGACAATGTTACTCTATTATTATTTTGGTTGAAATCCTTTATTTAAATATGAAATATGAGGAAAATAAAAACACCTTTCTGTCATAGCTTTTGTCTGTGTTAATAATTTGTTATAACTCTGTACAATATTTGAAAAGAATATTTTAGTACTTGCTTGGGCTGCATGAAAGGAAGAAAATCTGTCAGATGTATCTGAAGAATAGCAATAAAGCAATTTTGAAAGGCTATTTTTTTTAAAAGCATTTAATTGGCACAAGATTCACAAACTGAAGTTTAAAAAACTTTCCCAAAAACATTTCTGTACCTCAAGCTGCATTTCTAATCACAGGTCATTTGTGCTGAATCCTTAGTTTCTGCAACTACTACATTTACATTAATTGTGTAAATTCTGTCAGAAAATAAATTAATTTGGCCTTTCTACCAAAGGAAGCATATTCAATAACACATTAATTCAAACTTATCACCCCTCTTCCCCAACCCCTTTTGTTCTACCTATCCCTATTAACAAAAAGTTCTTCTCCTGTGATTACTGCACGTAAAGTGAGTCAAAAGTGGTTCCCTTTTAATAACGCATGGTTTCACATTTTCATTTGTGAAATGCTGACACACCAAGCAGGTATTCGGCAAGCGATGGCATCACGTGTGGGTACTTGTTAGCAGAATTTTGGAATTCTAACAGCACAAGTATTTTAATTGTAGACCATCTTTCCCTCTCTCACCTCCGCAATTTCCACAACTCTTTCTCTGCCTTGAAGAGTAAGAACAAGTGCTCTCCCCCCTCCCCTCACCAGTTAAAAGATTGCAGTTGCACTGGAAACCAAATGCAAGATTTTTAGAATATCAGGCAACTTATTGACTGTGTCCGTTGCTGTGGAAAAGCAGAAGCTACTGTTGTTTAGAAGGATAAGAAATTTTAAATACTCTAGATGCAAACTGCACAGCACAATTATTCTCTCATGCTTACGATTGCACTCTTAATCTCTTGTTTATGAGATAAGAATACTGTTGCATATTATTTATGCATTCAGGATTACTTCCGAAAAATAACTTTAGTTCACATTCAAATACTTGGTGGTTGTTTTTGTTTTGTTTCGTTTTAGTAATTTGAAGGTTACATGATGTTAGCAAATTCAAATGACATTCTGTCATTTGCAATATATATGTAACTCTACTCCAAATTACCTGGTATTTGTATTGCGTATTTTTTGAAGAAATTTTTATCTGTGACACCAATTTGACTCCTGAAGGATTGAATTTGCATATCGTTTCGTACATGGTGGAAGTTTTTCCCCCAAGATGGCATTGACCACACTTGGACCCAAAGGACCATGCAACTAGTTTTACATTGCTGGTATGTATGTATGTATGTATGTATGTATGTATTGGTTGGTTGGTTGGTTGGTTGGTTGGTTGGTTGGGGGGGTTGATCACCTCATTTATAGTAGCCATTTAAAAAGTGTATCTTGGCTTAAGCTAACACAAAGTGATATTCTGGAATGAGCATGATGTAATGCCATGCTAAGGAAAATTCTAAGCAGGGGGGAAATACCCATTATAATGTGTTACAACTTGCATGCAAATCTAGCCATCACTTGGGCAGGAGGTGAGGTCTCCACACCACCGATTCTAAAAGCACCAGCTTAAGTACTTTTCAGTTTTTAGAATACAATTGATCGGTAGGTCTTACAAAATTGGATATAAAATTTATCATGCAGACAAAAGTAGCTTGTAATTAATATTGCCACAATCTGATGTGTGCCAAAGAAGAACATACCTGGCAGTTTAGTTTACTGTTTTTAAATGACATCTTTCTGAATTATAATATGGAGAACCCATTTATCTTTTTGCTATTAAAAAGACTAAATAAATATTGTTCAAAAGCCACTAAGAGTATAATGACTATACAAGCACCCTTGTGGAATTCCAGCTAGATTTGCACTTACAAAGACTTAAAATGCTGAATGCTTCGTGGTAGAAAGGCTCTGTAGCAATAAGTTGCTATGGCTGACAGAATTTAGTATTGCAGTATTCTTGTGCTATGACTTTTCCCCTATTGGTTGGATTTCTGCTTCTAAACTAGTATCAGAGATCATCATTCTATACTAAGAGACACGGAATTAATGGAAAACGTGCATGTAGAGATCTGCACTTGCTAACAAAGTGTGTCCATAGAAGGGTACATATTAAAGATATGTGAAGTATCCCTGCTAAAGTAATATCAAATGTCTTGACAAGCTTTTTTTAGACAGCACTATCCATCAACGGAGCACCTACAGAACAAAGTTTATACAATAAAGTTGGTGGTGGCTGCTATAATCGGTACTTTGAAATTTATTTAAAACTGCTGGTTTAAAAATCTAAGCAGCAGACAAAAAGAAACCACAGACAACAAAAAAGTAAGTAGTATACAGTAAAGAGATAAACATAAAAACATACTACCTCAACAATTAGTGTTTGGTTGGTTGTTGTTTTTACTGATCCTGCACTGCAAGTGTGAAAACAGTAGTTAAACCTAGATCTCCTTTCGTGTTAAGGACCAATTGCCCCAGGGAAGGAAGCGGAATGCTGCTTTCAATTCCCACGCCTGTCTTCAGCTATGTTGCCAACTCCTAGTTAGCTGGCTTTAGAAAGCAAGCAGAGAACTAAGGCCAGAGCTCTGCACCTGTGAGTTTATGGCAAAAGCTCTATATGGCCTCTAAATCAACAAGCAACACATGCTCGTTTTTGTGGTGTGTATGCAGGTGAATTAATTTACAAACACCATGTGAATGGATATTGTTATTAATGAATTAAATTCGTCAGTCACTATCTTGCCCAAGGCAACCCAAAGCAACTTACAAGCTACCCACCAACCATAGGGAGATGCATGTTCAAATTCCTTCTCCAGCATAATGTGTGACCCTGGGTACACCACTCTTTTAAAAAGTCTTACCTGCTTACAGGGCTGTCATCAGGATAAATTTAAGCCACCCAGCCCTCCAGCTTGAGCTCCTTGAGAGAAGAGTGGGAGTAAAGATAGTGAAAGGTAAAACTAAGCTGAAATATATTTGGCAGGAGAAATAACTCGCAGATTCGTCTCTAAAAAACGTGCTCAGTCTTATTGCTTTGTTAAATAACTTAATTCTAGCAGCATACTAGGCTAAGAAAACTCAATATCCTTTGTATCCCATTTTATAACTTCCTTTAGTTGCCAATCTCAGCGGTGTAGCCTTATATATTAGAAGCAAAATTCTCAGTCAAATTTGCATCCATCAAAATCCTCTTAATTATGTATAGTTGCAGGGTTGAGGAACAGCATACCTTTAAGAAAAACAACTGGAAGCACAAGATAAAGTTAGTTCTTCAATTCCTCCTGTGTGATGTCACTGTGCATGTTTTTGTATGGCTTCTGATGCACCAGGGTAGCCATTTGTAAATGAAAAGGGCAATAGAATTCTTCTGCTTGTTTTCCTGTTATGTAATACTGATATGCAGTTTATGCATTACAAATTAAAAAAACCAAACCTATTCTAAAAGTTGTACTGATGTCTTCATTGCTTCATCAGATCAATACATTTTCTAATATTGCAGAGAGTAAGTTGTGTGTACCACTGCATACTTTTCCACTACAGGTAGGTAGCCGTGTCGGTCTGCCATAGTTGAAACAAAATTTAAAAATTCCTTCCAGTAGCACCTTAGAGACCAACTAAGTTTGTTATTGGTATGAGCTTTCGTGTACATGCACACTTCTTCAGAGGACTTTTCCGCTATTTATGTAAACACATGAAAATGGGACCTCCCCCAAAGGTTAGAATTAAGTTTCATTGATTGTTTTCACAAAATTTACAATCACCACCTTGATGGCTGCACAATTAAGACGGGTCCCTCATCTTACTTTGCTAAATCGTACTTCCAGTTAGTCCATGTCTCCATGCACCAAGAACTCTTTAAGGAAACTAATGTACAAGCTCCACTTTCTCAGTAGATACATAGTACAATCCTTTGCATGTTTATGCAAAATAATACCTCTTGTATTTAGTAGGGCTTACTCATAGGCAAGTGGATTCCAACTTCTGGGAGAAAAGGAAGTGAAGACTGAGGTTTTGTTTTTTAAATGGGTACATCTTAGCAATACCGATATAACAAAGTAAGTTAAATCTTCTGTGTGCCCTAGCTGTGGCAACAACATGAAAGCATTGTATTAATAGTTCAACCACAATTAATGAGTGCCAAGGTACTCTTCCGAAACTTCTTAATTGTGATGATGGGCTGGTTAATTCCAGGGCGGCACCTACCGGCCTCCCTTGTGCTATTTTTAGTGTTTGTGACTCAGTTGTGTACTGCATGATCATCCCATTTGGCAATTAACACAAAAGCAGTCTTTTGTTTTACTATATAGAAAAAAGAAAAGACAGTTTGCTATTTTTAAGTAGGTCATGTTATTTATAGCCCCAGATGTCCATAGCATTTAACATTTCAGATAAAGAGATTCTCTGCTCGGAAGAGCTTACAATCTAAATGCAGGTGGAAAAGGGCAAGAGATACAGGAAGAGAAACACTTCTGCATGCAATTATCCTTCAAGACGCAGCTGATTAAGCATTCGCTCCCCTCCCCACAAGCACACCTTCACATTAATGGCACCTGCATGAAAGCAGTGTTAATCAAGGTTGTTTACATAATGAAAAGCAGTGGTTTTTTGAACAATCAAGGTAGTTTGGATTAAACAAAGAATTGTGACCAAATACCAAGAAAGACAGGAGTACTATACCGTTTCAACAATTGCAGTTTTCTCCTCGTCTGTGCGTGACATGCTTCAGCTCCCTGTGCTACATAACTCTTAGAAGTACAGAAGCTTTGCCTTTATTTGCACATAGGAACAAAAAGTGCAGCAGGAGACAGTGTACCACCCAGTTCTCCAAACAAGTATCAGTATTTGTTAGTGAAACTGGCTAACAGAACTTTAGGTATCAGTTAAGGTTACTGCTATCTGTTGAAAACCTACTGTCTTTCCTTTAAATAACCATGAGACAGGAAGAGATTTAGTAGCTAGAGACACTCCTTACCCTGGAATGACACATGGCATGCATGGCAATTTTCTCACTGAATGTAACAGTTGTGAGACAGAGCCTGGAAACGAGTTTTAAAATGCTCTCTTCAAAGTCCTATTCAGAAAGGTGCTGTCACTGGAAGAATAACTTCTTCCTAAAGTAAAGCAAATCCTGACCATGCTGGGTAAAGGAAAAGGCTGAATGGGCAAAGTCCTAAATTGTTGCCCCACCATCCCTTTGTGTACTGTCCCACCCAGCCAATACTTGTGTGGGAAGCGATGCAGATTCTCTCAGCTCATGCATTTTTGATTTTATAAAGCTTCAAGGGTGGGTTATTTGGAATGTTCAGGGGCAGAAGATGGTACAGAACAAAAGAAGAACCCCCTACAGGTGAGGTTTTGGTAAGTTTCAGGAAGGTAGATAAGCTACTAGATATAAAAAGATTTGATTTCCAGTCACCTAGAACAGAGAATGCCAGGGCCTTCAAGGGCAAAGGAAAAGCATGGAGTGCTTTTACTGAAGATGTGAAGGGGCAAGAAGCAAGGGTAGTGGCAGCCATGATCGAAAGAGCGCATGCTCTACTTTCACATGCTAAGGAGTGAAAATGCAACGTATTTTTATTTTCCATGATTTTATTATTAAATTCTATCCTGCTCTTCCTCCCAAAGAAGCCCATATTCCTGTGCCATGTTAAATATCTAATAAATATGTGCTAGCCAGGAAAATGTAAGACTGTGGTCATTATTTGGTAAGTAAACAGTATAAAAGCAATAGTACCACGCTTGCCTGCCCGGGGGTTTGTGAGCTCTAAGATCCACTAGGGAACTAAGAGAACAGCCTTAAGAGACAATATCGCACCAAGCAAGACACCAAGTGACAGTCTGTGGAGCAGCAGTCATATGGGAGTTCCATCAGCCAAGATCCGTGGAAGGAACAAGAAAGAGCAAATGTAAGAAAGAGTGTGGCTAATCGCCTTTAGGAGACAGGAGTAGGACTATTAAAGGAAACTCAACCACGATTGTATAGAAGACAGAAGGAAGAAGTGCACATGAATAAACATGGACAAGTTTACCTTCACACAAAATAAATGAAGTGGGGTGAAGGATTCCATATGAAAGCTGGTGGTTTTGGTTAACTGGTCCACTTCTTGCAATGAACACACCTATGGGCTAGAATGCTGAACTTCTCTGCCCCAGCCATACCACCTCTTCCATGACAGGCCTGATACCCTTCACAGAAGGCAGGCTCTTTGTAATCCAACTATTCTTTGTACAAAGTATATTGAAACGGAAGAAAAATGCTTTGGTCATATTAAAAAAAGCTCTTTTTCTGCCAGGGCTTAAAAATTGTTAATGCCGTGGGTTATTCAGGCTGGTGGGGGCGGGGGAGGGCAGGCAGGGAGCAAAAAAGGCTCCATTAACAATTCATCGCCATTCCACTTAGATGTGCATGCAGCTTAGCTACATCCTAAGTTTTCTTGGCATGTTGTTATGCTTCCATGTAAGAGTTCTAGTATGCTGAATTTTGGCATCTTTCTTATTCGACACCGTGCCCAGTCCCCAAGATTAAACAAGTAAGATTTCAGCCTTCAGTTTTTTCTTTCAGCTTTTTGCAAAATATTCAGAAGAGATAACTGCAAGCAAAGTTTGAAGAGAGAAAGGAATTGTTTTCATTATACTGGATTGTAGGCAGACATCTTGTGTTCATGCCCAAGACATTTGCCATTCTCTGTGAATCAGGAGCTTTCCAACTTTTCCTCTTGCACAGTTTTAAACTACAGTTTTGAACTCTACAATGCTTGGAAGTGCATTAATTTATAGATGTCTGCAGCTTTCCGTTCCACGGAGATTGGCTTTCATCAATGAATGAACTGTTAACAAAACTTTGAATCACACAAAATGTAACACTATGAACTGCTTTTGAAGTTACATGGACCTGCAGGCTTCCAAAATAATTCCACTGAAAAGCCTCCTATTCATTCTTCTTTTTCTCTAATCTTCTGTGTGGAACATCTAGGGCTACTGCCATCATAACCTAGTTTTAAGCAAGTGCTCTGTCCTTACCGGCTTCAATAGAAATACTTCTAGATGTTGTACAGAAGAAAATTCCATTGAAATCAGAGGTCAGAAATGGAGGTTGAACTTGCTCAATGATGAAAGCTGTTGGCTTGGTGGGAGAGGTGGTTGTGTTTCACAACATCACATTCCCCCTACCGCTATGAAACAGTCTCCTCCCCGGAACTGCTAAACAGAGCGCCAGAAGATGGGTGTGAAATGTGGGGTGAGCCATAAATATCCTTTATGGTCTTGTATCCATTGCTAAAAGTAAGAAATGAATTACACAACTAAGTACTCCAAACATATGCCCTTTACATATAGAAAATAAGTTTCCTAGTACTTCCCACTGAGGTATCAATTGTCTTCACATAATAAGTGACCAGAGGGTATATTCACATATATGGAAATAAATTAGCTACTGAAAAATCAAAACAAAAATGGACAAGAGAGGATTCAAGCCATTTTTACCACAGCAAAATGGCTGCTCTCAGTGGTTTCAGTATAAATACTAGGAGGTAACGTGCTAGAATACCTTGTTCAGAATCTGCATTTGAACAGTGCAAGGAAGAATTAATATCCACAAAGCCAAAGTCTCAGGAGGAGATCTCCAGCCTCCAACAAAGGGCACAATCCACCATCGAACTTTGTTGCACACCAACCTTCATTTCAGGGAAGGTTGTTCAGATCTTCTTTCAGGCTCCACTAAGTAAAAGGAAGGTTGTGTTGCAGAACCACATAGACGATCACATCAGGTGTCAGTCAACCTCCTGTGCCATCACATTTCACCTCCTCACTATACTTATCTAGCCTGTAGAGAGAGAGAGAGAGATCCCCAGTGCTTTCTGTACCTATTTGTCGTTTACAGAATAAGAACGGCAGCTGCACTTTTAAAGAAATAAATAAATAAATTTCAAGTACAAGAAAATGGTTATATAAGATGGGAAGTCTATTCTCTCAGCTCTGATCAAGGCACAGTTTGGTACTTATGTAGATGTCGATCTTCAATGTGCTCTGCCAGTTCCGTTTAACTTCAGTAGGACTTAAGGTCACTATACTCTATCAAATTTGGGCACTTGTAACTAGAGGCCATGGGAAAGCAAAAAATAATAATAAATTGTTAACTTACACTGTGGACAAATAGAGGGCCCTAGAAAGGCTTAAAAATGGGGGGGTTTGCTTCTGACCTGTAAAATTTCATTATATAAACATATATATTTCTAAATAAAAAACAATGGAATATCCATCCTGGCAAGGAGAAAATATAATGGAAAAATAAAGTTCTGTCACAGTTCCATCAGTCCTCCGCTGAAGCTGCTGCCATTGCGGACTTCATGCTCTCTCGCGTCGAAGTTAGTTCACCAATCACCCATTCCAAGGCTTCTCGACCCTGTTAAAGAAGGCACAAGAGCTAAGTGGATTGACCAGATACATTGATGTTAAACTTCTAAATCTTTCCTCTGTCAGACACCAAAAGATCTCCCAAAGCAAACTGCTTTTGTTGTCTTCTGAATTATGAATGTATCATAATGAATTGTGCCACTGAATTTGTACGACGAGATTATTTCATTCTAGTCCACCTTTGCTTCTGTAACAAGGAAAACCTTAAATTGAAGGGTGATCTGCTTAGACTATAAATTTTTCTTAGTAATAATAGGCCAACAAAGTTACAAGACTACAAGCTAGCTCTTTTGCAGAGTACAAATGTTAGATCTGTCTAGCAAGGCACAATTACAAGAGACTGTTGCACTTGGATCAGTGCTAGAGAGAGTTTTGACTACCCACTCTTTCCAAAGTGCAAAGCATCATTTGCTTCTTATCCCCAGAATGCCTCTGAACAACCTGAATTTTTTCCTATCACATTTCTGTGGCTTCCTCCATTACCATGGTAAGATTGCAACAGAACAGACATGAGGCCTAATACTAGCCCTTCTCCCACCAATAATATTTCCCCCCTTCAATTTCTTCCGCTTCATCCTAGCAATGGAAAAGTTGTTACAAGTCCTAATGAACGTTATTAATGAACTTATAGTTTATGGTTGCTTTCCCATCCTGTTTACTCTCTATCATGAAACACTAAATTACCATCACTGATGCTCAGTACAGAGCAACGTAGGAAGCAAGAGCACCGCTTCTGCAAGAATTCAGTTTAACTGGGCCTAAAGACCAGCTACAGAAGGCAAACCTAAATAAGAAGAGCTTGAAACACATGCTGGGCAGTATTCAACTCAACAGTTGCACCAGTGCAAGCACTCTTGGCTGCACAATGGAACTGCTTTAACCTGCGCACCCTCTAAATATTTTTTGAGCTTGCCCTCAACCCTTCAGGGCAGATTTAGAGGGTGTGCAGGTAGGGTAGGTTCTTGTGAATAGTTAAAAGTGTTTGCACTAGTGGAACTGAGGAGAAAACCTCAGTAAGCTCAAGTAGAGAAACTCAACAAAAACGTGAGAGCCTCCATAAGTTTTCAGGCTAGGAGCCTAATCACCTGGCCAGATGCAAAAGGCCACTTAGCATGTGATCAAGATACTTTTGCTCAAGAACTGCCTCTCCTCTTATTACCTAGACTATAGCTAATTTCTTTGAAACTGTGCACCCATCTGCATTATGAAAAGCCTGAACACAGTCTTTGCATAGAATACTAAATAGCTTAAAGCTTAACATTTCGAACCAAATTACTGTTAGTTTTAAGCCTATACTACACCATGGCTGCTTTAACTACCAACCTAATTTTTTTATAGATGCTTATTTTAATTGCAACAGAACACTACTGGATTAAATGACAGTTACATAATCTTTCTGGATACAAATGTGCTCATTTGAAATCTGTAAACTTAACAGCTCAGGTCAACACTCCAGGAAGAGAGAGAGATGGCTATATTATTTGCATTTGTTGTTTCTAAACTGTGAAGAAGCAACTAGCTTGCTCTGTCAGTGTGCAGATTTCCCACTGCACAACAGAACTAACCCCCTCTCCTTTCCCTGGCACCCCCCTAAATCTGTTCTGCTGTACCCCCAACCTTATAAAGCAGATTTGGGGAGGGTATGGGGCATGCACAGTGAAAGAAGAGGAGTGTAAGTTTCCTTCTGCAAGTGAAAATCCTTGTGCTGATGGAACAAGTTAACTGGAAGCCACCCTTAGTTTTGAAATAGAAAGTGCAATAAACCAATAGATTGAAGAAACAACCTTTGGAATTATCTACACTGTAACCTTATACTGGGCTTCTAAGAATATCACAATATCACATTTTTCTCCAAACAATTCTAGTAATTCTAGATTCAGGTAGGTAGCCGTGTTGGTCTGACGCAGTAGAAATATATATTAAAAATAAAAAAAATGTCCAGTAGCAACTTAGAGACCAACTAAATTTGTTCTTGGTATGAGCTTTTGTGTGCATGCACACAAAAGCTCATACCAAGAACAAACTTAGTTGGTCTCTAAGGTGCTACTGGACAATTTTCTAGTAATTGTTACTGGATGATGGTATTGCAGTGCCCAGAATTTCCTATAGAAAAGACTGTAGGGTGCATATGACCCAAAGCACTTGGCCAGAATTATCTGAATTTCTTCAATTATTTGTTGCTTTTGAAAACACCATTCAGTTTGAAGTGTTTTCCATTCCTGGTCTCGGGTCAGAACTAACCACCTTTAACCCAATCCTTCAACTGAATGAAGTTCTGAGCATTAGAAACTGCACAAGTTGGGTTTAAAAATCAAAGCATCAGATAAGAATAAAAAAGGGCCCCACTAATAACAGACATATGACATGTCAAATGAAGAAATTCACAGGATTGCTATGGGAGATAGAACAGGAATTATTGCATTGTTATAGCACCAAGTGCTTTTGATCAACAAACCTCCATGCTATAACACTAAATACAAGTGTTGGGGCTTAAAGCATAGCACACATACATCTTAACACATTCTAAGAAATGAAATGACAGCTTGGTTTGAGTAGATTCTAAGCACATTGGTGGGGTGAACTAGGTTGCAGCTTTTTTAAAGGAGAGGGTGGAACTGTGGATTTTTTAGGACCAAACTAGACATTTACCTAATATGTAGTATGCATCTTAAATAATTACATTCACAGGGAGACAGATTCTTACTGGGAAGGCAACCGGTAGGGAGAGGAGGCTTATCTTTTCACCCACTCACCATAATCTGAATGGAAAAAGTCCCCATCAGACTCCCCCATGCCAGTAATTATTTCAGGAACAATGATATATACAGCTGCATGTGACACAATTGAGCAGATGTCAAGTTTGATCCAGTCTGGCCGGCGTTCCTTGGGAGGGCTGGCCATTCGTTTACATAGTAACTGAGCATGTTGAACGATTTTGTTGAGTTTGAAATGACTTTAGTTAGAGTGGTCTATTGGGCTGATGACTTACTTATTTGCTTCCCAAAGACATCTGGCAAGCCTTTAAAAACAAAATGTTGGACCCATAAGACCGGGGTTCTTTTTAACATGCACGGAACTAGCAAAAACAATCTGACAGAGGATTGGTTTACTGAGTTTCTGTTGTACCATAAAACAGCATATTAGTATATGACTTGAGCAAGCATATTTCCAATTAAAGCATGCACCTTTTAATATATTTACGTACATGGTGGTAGCACACTGAACATATAGAATGAGAGTTAAGAACTGGACATAATTTCAGTGGTTACTACTTAACAAACGATTGAGAGCATAAAATTTTAAACTCTGAAACATTTCACAGGCTTAATGGTAAAACTGAAAACATACAGTGAGAGTTTACTATTATTATTTTTTTTGTAATATATACACACACTCCAAAATTGGGAGTAGTTAAGTATTACACAACACTAAGGCATGTTTGGTAACTGTATTCTGCAAATGAAAATTGAGGGTTTTAAGGGCAGGATCAACAGTCAAATAATCTGTTTCCAAGCTTGGCAGTCAAGCTCAAGGAACAAAAAAGGTGGTCACTGAAGTTCCCCGCAAGTCAAACAGATGCTAGCAATGCCTCTTAAAACAATGCATTTAGACAAAAACATCTGTTTTGTTATAGCAAAACTATTTATATATTAGTGTATGTTTAGATAAAAGCCTGGATTTTAGATGTGAAAAAACGAATCATGGTTTGTTCTTCATATATTTCCCCATGTTCCCCACTTACATGTGGAGGAAGAGAAGCTATTTCAACTTCTAGTCTGCAACAAATTGTAGTTTGCCATACCAGGATGAGAAAACAAACTGATATGTTCAATTCATCTTCCCCCAATCCTGGTTTTGCAAACAAACAAACCACAGTTGGCCATGTTGGGGCAAAACTGCAAGTGAACACTTCTAACCTCCCCTCACAAAATGCAGGGAGAAGAGAGTGAGGCTTGTGCTCATAACAAAAATATGCAGCCAAATGCAGCCAAAAGGTTTTGCATGATTCCTGCCTAATTAAAATAAAGTAAGACAGGAGTGCCTGGCGTGCTCTGGTCCATGGGGTCACGAAGAGTCGGGCACGACTAAACAATGGGAGGCCCAGACACTAGAAATAATGCAAAGAAGAGAAAAAGTAGAACCCAATTCTCACAAGTGCCAACTACGGAAGTTTATGATAGTACAATGTGTTTCAGAACAGAAGTTCCTTCTTCAGGATCAATCTTGGACTTTCTGAAGCAACTTACATAAATGCTGCTGCCTCTCGGGCACCATGAGGGAGGAATGACAGTTCCAAAATGTGCTGAGCGACAATAAAGCTTAATAGCTGGCACTTTTGAAAACCAGTTTCTTCTTTTTGCATTCTTTTTGCACAGATTTTAAGCTGCCTCAAAAGCAAAAACCAACAAGGACCAAGTAAACGGGTGCAAATGTTCTAATTGTGACTTCAAAAACTGCTTTCTTTTAAACGAGAACCCTTCTGTCCAAGCAGCGATGGGACTGTATTTCTACACTGATAGGCAAGAACTGCCATACTGTAGGCTAAGTCCGGCAGTAGCGTGAACTAGTTAACAACCTCAAGTATTTCACCCCAAAGCATTCCATGCATTGGATCAAGAGGACTGGTTGTACAGAGCTTCACCTACTTCCAAAATACTATGGGGCCAAGGTGCAACAGTTCTTCTAACAGTATTCCACTTACTCAAAAGAGATTTACCAAAAAACAGAAGGTGGGCCTTATTAGTGGCCCACACATGCAGGTTCATAAGAACCTTTTCCTGTGTCAAAGCATTAAACAGTACAGACGCCCCCCAAATTCCAGAGTTAAAGAATAAGGGGGCTGTTCCTCTATATGCAATGTGTGTATATATACGAGGCATGCAGGCTTTCAAGTAACATGACAACAACATGCACAGATTTGCTAGAAGCTGAAATGCTGTACCAAGGTAACAAATGCTGGTATTACCACTAATTAGTACAAAATGCAGCTGTAGAAAGAGACTGCTATCTTAGAACACTGTCAGAATGTTGAATTGTCCACTCAATAGCATCCCACCCCTGGAGTAACACAGAAAAGATGTACAACTTATGACAAAAAGTTATTCCACCATCACAGTCTTGTAAATCTCAAGAGCCTACAGGAAAATCAAGCATTTTAAACTGAGAGTGATATCCAACTAAGTCCAAGTAAACCTACTGAAAGTGAATGGATGTAACAGTTATGACTAAGCCTACCTTGAGTTTGACTTAGGTGAGACCATGCTTATCAAATATTGGTAACAAGCAATTACCATATTTTTCGCACTATAGGACGCACCGGACAATAGGACGCACCTTGTTTTAGAAGGGGGAGAACAAGAAAAAAAAATTCTCCCCCTCTCTGCCCAGCGCCTCTTCAGCGAAGTGGCAGGAGGCACTGCGCAGAGAGGGGGATAATTTTCCCCCTCTTGTTTTCCCGCTCTAAAACAAGGTGCCGTTTGGGGTGTGTTCAGGCGGCTACCTTGGAAGCCTGGAGAGCGAGAGGGGTTGGTGTGCACCGACCCCTCTCACTCTCCAGGCTTCAGGTTCCTTTCAACCTGCTCTTTGGGGCTGGCGGGGGGAAGCCCACCACCAGCCCCAAAGAGCAGGTCGGGGAGCAGCGCAAAGGCGCGCAGCTATAGAGGCTCCTGCCATAGCCGCATGTCACCTCTCCAGCTGGGAGAGGGTCGCTGGGGGCTTCTTTAGCCCCGTGCGCGCTCTCCCAGCTGGAGAGATGGCGCGTGGCTAAAGAGGCTGCTGCAATAGCTGTGTGTCACCTCTCCAGCCGGGAGAGGGTCGCCGGGGGGCTTCTTTAGCCCTGCGCGCGCTCTCCCGGCTGGAGAGATGGCGCGCGGCTATAGAGGCTCCTGCCATAGCTGCGTGTCACCTCTCCAGCCGGCAGAGGGTAAGAGGGGCTTCTTTAGCCCCGTGCGCGCTCTCCCAGCTGGAGAGATGGCGCGCGGCTATAGAGGCTCCTGCCATAGCCGCGCGTCACCTCTCCAGCCGGCAGAGGGTCGCGGTGCTATGCTGTCTTCGCTCCATAGGACGCACACACATTCCCCCTTCATTTTTGAAGGGGAAAAAGTGCGTCCTATGGTGCGAAAAATACGGTATATCATGTAAAGGTCTAACTGTGCGCCAAAGCAGGATGCTGAAGACACACAAATAGGCATCCCAGTAGAATAAGTTAGGTAAAAGCAAGCTGAGCATGCATGCTTCTGACAGATGCATCTCATCCTAGACTTGGGATCACTTGACGTACTACCAGATCCCTATAGAGCAACTTCTGCCTAGAAATCTGGTAGTACGCAAGTGTGAAGTGGCCCTAAGTTGAAAAGGTAAAGAGAGAGGGATCACCTGTAAGGAAACTTAGTTAAAACAGGCTGCATTATATAGCATTAAAAGAGAACGAAGAAGAAACAGTAAAGCACCTGAATGAGACCTGTAATGTATTGACAATCTATTGTTGTACAAGTGCAGAAGTCATGGAGGACTGTGCACAGAAAGATTTGTTTAGGATTACAATATTTGAAATGCTCATTTCCCCCTTAATAATACTCTTTATAAGGCTGAGTTATTCATTTGCTGTTTATAGTCAAATCCCAATGCACCCACGGAAGTCCCACAGAACTTAATAAAGGGTTTATTGTGTAGCATGCTGAATTGTTGCAGGCTGAGAACAGGGATGGGCCTGTCCTGCTCTATCGTAGCCCATTTCTGAGGGCCCTGTTTCAGCAGTGGGCATGGCCATCCCATGCTCTCTCTCACACCACACACAACACTCCCCCTGCCTGCCACGATTAGGTCGGAGTCACTAGGAACCTTTTTACAAACCTAACCTCAGCATGGGGAGGGTGCTTTAGAGCATGGTGATGAAACAACACATGGGGAGGCAGGGTTGACCTCCCAGCTGCATTTAGGCAAGGGGGAAAATAATCTTTACTCCAACAGGATAGTTATTTTCTAGCTGCAGGAAAGGCAAGGAGGGAGGTGAGGGCCAGAGAAAGAGGTCAGGAGTTCAGCTTCCTGTATCTTTTAATGCATGGAGTGCTTGCATATAAAATATGCTCTGGAGGGTTGAGGGAATTCCCAGAAGAGGGTAATGCTGTGAACTGCCCTGAGATCTATGCATGAAGAACAGTATACAAATTTAATTGATTGATTGATTGATTGATTGATTGATTTCAGGGCACACAGGGAAAGGAATGGAAAGTTCCACTGCACAGCCAGAAGTCTGTGCACTAGCTGAACTTCTTCACCCATAGCATTTAGGGGAACAGTTCCTTTTCATCTATCCCCTATTCTGCTACTAACAGCCTATGTATGCATTTGGTTTATTGTACATCGGAAGTGGAGTAAGTTCCCTTTCCAACACTACAAATAGGACAACTAGAACATGTGCTCACACCCACCATTTCGTACACAGTAGAAAAGAAGAGACATCTGTACATAATAAGTGTCTGGGTAATGAGGGAAAGTTCAGATATGACATCTCCTTAGTTCTCTTCTCTGCTTTCAGCACTGAAAAGGGTAAGGAGGCGATTTGCCTGCTTCCCATATAAACCTATTTGGCTCAAGCAACCCACTGCGGAATCCAATAGCTAACCTGAGAAGGTATTCTGTGAACTGCAAGCTGAAAGACAGACTAATCTGATCACACAACCAGACACTATCACCCCTACCCCCATTCTAGCTGTAAGCTGCTGTTCTCTCTCACCGAGAGACAACAATCACTTTTCCTGACTTCATACCATACACGGTTTTAAATCTTAAAAGGAAATACATGTGGACTGAGAATATACAACTGGCTCTACAGACCATCACAAATACAAGAAAAGTCATTATCTAACCTGAAGACTTACAGTGAATTGTGTATAATTGAAAGCACCCTGGGCTTATGGGATACCAAGGCTAGCATAATGCACTTAAACATTTGAGTTTTAGGTTTTAAATGAACCACCTTAAAGTTAGAAACTGTGATCCAGTAAAAGCGTGCCACACACCTACCTTTCTAGCATTAGAAGATATTGTGCTTGCCATTAAAGTTTCCAAGTAACTACTGAGGCTAACACCTTTTACTGTAATAATTGCTTCTTGAGTTAACAAAGTCCTAGAAGGGGAAAGACAGAAACTATCAGTACAAAAAGGATTCCCCCTCATCGTATTATCGTATTTTTTTACTGAAAGCCAAAGACATTCCAACTTACTTTTCCGGGTTCTCAGGGTGTGGCGTATATACCAACCTTTCATCAACTGATATAAGATTTGTAAGTGTTATCTTAAAGGGAAAAAGAAGCAAAGATTAATTTAGCTAATCTTAGTATTATCTAGCATAATACATAATAAAAAAGACTGTCTACTTTACTTAAAGAAAATGATAAATTGCATTTTTAAAAACAACTAAGGCTGTATCCTAAGCAAACTTTCTAGGAATTAAAGTCACATTTTAAAGCAGGAGTAAGGAATTTCAGGCCCATAGGCCTAGTTAGGTCACAAACCATACCCACTCCCCCACATGTGTGATACCAGGTTTGGGACAGATAAATATGTGGCTGGCCTTGGCTACCCTAGGGAGCGCCCCACCAGTGAACGCGATGTGCAGTTGGGTATAGCTCACTGTCAGCCCCAATCAGCTGATGGACAGAGAGAGCGAGACCCCTTGAAGTTCCAATCTCCACACTCATAAACTGAGGAACATTGAGAGAAAGCTGCTTTGAAGTTTGCTTGCAGCTGTAGTTTGGATACAAAGCATGCCATGGACACTGAGATCCAGCACCGAGGGGCTTCTGGCGGTTCCCTCATTGCGAGAAGTGAGGTTACAGGGAACCAGACAGAAGGCCTTCTCAGTAGTGGCGCCCACCCTGTGGAACGCCCTCCCTTCAGATGTGAAGGAAATAAGCAGCTATCTTCTCTTCAAAAGACATCTGAAGGCAGCCCTGTTTAGGGAAGTTTTTAATATTTAATGCTGTAATGTTTTTAACACTTGATTGGAAGCCGCCCAGAGTGGCTAGGGAAACTCAGCCAGATGGGCGGGGTATAAATAATAATATATTATTATTATTATTATTATTATTATTATTATTATTATTATTCCTGAATCCATACCACAGCTGCAACCAGACTTCAAAGGGGCTCTCTCAGCACCCATCAGTTGATCAGTGCTGAGAGGGAACTCCTTTGAAGCCCTCACCTGATGACATGATGATGAGGATGGTGCCAGGTGACTGACTGGTGGGCAGCCCCACCCAGCTGCCAGAATTGACCCATGGGGAGTGAGGGAGATGTGGATTTGGCCTGCTGGCCTTCTTCAATTCCCTGGCCTTGTACTACAAGCCTCAAGTAGCGTATATCCAGCCAAATGACACACACTTATATCCAAAGCTGCCTGTGTGTGGGAAGGACTCGCCTTTCCCTGCTCTCTCCCCAGCAGCCCTCCCACCCTCAAATTTTGCTCCAGAGAGTTGGGGGCCCACTGGAGCAGACTTTGGGACTGCCAGAATAATAATAATAATAATAATAATAATTATTATTATTATTATTATTTGTTTATACCCCGCCCATCTGGCTGAGTTTCCCCAGCCACTCTGGGCGGCTCCCAGTCAGTGTTAAAAACAGTACAGCATTACATATTAAAAACTTCCCTGAACAGGGCTGCCTTAAGATGTCTTCTGAATGTCAGGTAATTATTTATCTCTTTGACATCTGATGGGAGGGCGTTCCACAGGGCGGGCGCCACTACCGAGAAGGCCCTCTGTCTGGTTCCCTGTAGCCTCACTTCTCGCAATGAGGGAACCGCCAGAAGGCCCTCGGCGCTGGATCTCAGTGTCCGGGCTGAACGATGGGGGTGGAGAAGAAGGAGGAGGAGGAGGAGGAGATGGTGAAGTCCCACTGCATGAATGGAAGTCCACTCGTGCAAAGTTGGATTATGCCCATAAAGAACTTTCAGATCCTCTAGAAATAATTTCATCAGAGAAAGTAAAGCTAGCAACCCCAGTTTCTTGAAAAAATAATAATCTAAAGTTATCTAGCATACACAGAGAATGCTAGTCTTGGTTCCTGCTATGCCCTTACAGCAAGGTTTTCCCAACATAATCAAGGACTGCCTCAAACAGGCAGTATGTTAAAAAAACATAGCCAGCAACTCCCTGGTCCTGCCAGCAAATACAATACACAATACTTTATTACTCACATTTGTGGAGCTCAGTACCATTTTCTTTTCCACCGGATCAACTACAGAATGTTCTTTAATGTATGTCATAGTTCTACTTGTTCCCAGAATCTTTAAAAAAAGGAAATAAAAGCAAGTACTAACACAGTAACCCAAAACGAGCAGTCAAGCAAAATATCAAAAAGGTTGATGATAAATGTATTTCTGTAAAGCATGCAGTGATAGCCCCTGTCTACAGAAAGAGTCTCATTGAGCCAGGTTCTCTAGGTTTGTTGTAACTCTTAAGGAAATTTAGCCTGAGCATTTACTATGAGAGTCATTATGTGCAATACATTCAAGAATAGAACACGTGTTTTTATTTCATAAAAAGATTCAGCCTACCACTAGCCACCGTGGTTAAAACAAACTTACCGCTTTTACAATACTTGGTAGGCCCCATTCAGTGCTAAGTAGCCGGTGACTGTGCAACCTTCCTTGATTGTCAAGGCTTCGGTCCAAGACATCAACTCCTACCACTGAGGGGTTCATAGGATTGGGATATTTTCTCATGGCAGCTTTTATTACAGTATCCCATGGATGCCTAGGGAAAATGAAATGAAAGAGAAACAGGCAATGCATTAAGAATTCTCTGTATGCAATGCAATTTAATTAAAACTGAATATTTTGGTTTGCATTTATGGTATACAAAGCATACATTCCGAAACACAGTATTTAATATCATGTAAGAGTTGGTACCTGAATGTGCTTATTTTTCTCTTCCTCCCCTGTCACTTTCTTCATATCTGGTCTATTAGGTTGTTAACTACTGTAAACACATTGGCATAAGGGTACTATACGTATAAGGTGGTATCCAATATTGAAATTGCAAGAGCAGAACAGATTTCTGCTTGAAAAATGAGACTTCCCCTTTGTCCCCCTGCAGCAACCCTCCATACTTAAAATCTACTCCAGAGAGTTGGGAAATCCTCCAGTGCCGACGTCTGGAGAGCAAGACCTTTGAACCATTATTATTATTATTATTATTATCATTATCATTATTATTATTATTATTTATTAAATTTATATACCACTCTTCAGCCAAAGATCTCAGGACAGTTCACAAACCCATCAACCACCTACAGTTTATGTGACACCCCCAAATGACCAGCACAATTAGTAAGTTTCAGAATATAATGCTATATAAACTTTGGTCAGATCAGAGATTTGCCGATCTAGTCCTCTTCAGAGGCTGTTGTCCTGAAACCTCCACCAGTCCCAACCATTTTGGCCAATGGTCAGGGAAGGTGGGAGTGGCAGTTCAACAATATCTGGAGGGCACAACGTTGACTACTACTAGTTTAGATGGCAGCTCTTTCTAGGCACAGCAGAGTGACAGATATTAAAGACAAGAAACACCACTTTCAATTTTCAGCACTTATTTAGCACAAGTTCTCCTCTGGAGAGGAAGCATTTGACACAGCAATAGGAAATCAATTCAGCTGGATCCTAGCCATGCTTACTCAGAACTGAGTCCCACTGATTTCAATAGGACACTCTCAAGCATGCTTAGAGCCGTGGTATAAGTATTATGCACAATAACAAAATAAGAGAAAGAATTGTAGGTTAAATTTATAGAACACGCTTTGCATGAAAAGGCTCCAAGGTTCAAGAAGCACGGGGAAAGACTCCCATCTGAAATGCTGGAGAGGCACTTCCATTCAGTGTTGAAAAAGCTGAGCTAGATGAACAAATGGTCTAGCTTGGTATAAACCAACTTTCTACATTCCATGTTCCTGTGTAGCATATATCTTTCATTTCCAGAAAACATTCATTGCTTAAGTAACATTAACTCGGTGGTGAAATATTCTCAGTAAGCTAATAAGAACTTATGAAACCCAGTGACTAAGCAAAGGAAGTTAACATTGGGCTGTCCTTGTTCACAAAGATAAAGACTGAGGGAGAGAGAGAGTCATGCTTAAATTCAGAGATTATCACACTTATTCAGTATCAGCCTGCATAGCTCCACTGCTATCTCACACTTTTGAGAAACACACTTTTATATTAGTTTTTTTTTTTTAAAATAGTGTGGTGTTGCAATTTAAGCATTTCCTTCATTACTGGGAAAGTGTTTTATGGCACTTCAGCTATGTGCAAGTAGCTTATGCCAACAACATCATCAGTGATCTGGTATTGCACTTAACTGCTAGATAGTCTCAGGAGCCTTTCAAAGCCATACTGCTAATTCAGTATACTCATGCCATAGGGTCTCAACCCCTTTCTTTGGAAGAAGAATATGCCTTTTTTATGGCAATGCAAAAAACAGAACCCACTGAACACATCATAACCTACTTTCCACCCATTTAATTACAAGCTATTACAGGTAGTGTCTCAGCTTGTTTTATTGCAAAATTCCAGGAAGCCACTGTCATGATGTTATTTCCTACACATCTGTACAGAGGCAAGATGTGGCAACCTCTCCTCCCATTTTCAACCACCCTTTCCTGGAGTACTAAAGAAAATTCCCTCTTAAATTGCTAGACAGAACAATTGCACCATTGCCTCCATGTCCCTCATGTACTACAGCTCAATTTCTTAGAAGAACAAAAAGGTACAGTTCACAGCAGTCCACAATTATGCACCCCACTAGTATTCCATCATTCCTGGAAAGAGTGACAAGAGAAGTCCCATCCTTCTGCTCCAGCTTCTAGATGAGGGGTCAGAGATCATTAACCAGAGGTCAACTGAGTTTCAGAGAACATAATAAATAAAAGAGGAAGATCCCACACCCTCATCTCTAGCTCCAAGCTGAAAAGAAAGATTGGGGCTTCCCATTTTGGTGCTCAGGTCTTTTCAGCCACCTTAAAAAAAACCAAAGAAAACCCAGCCATTCTCTCTAGCTCCAGAGTAGGAGAGTGAAGATCGCTATTTGAGCCACTGGCAGAATTAATGTCCCAAGTGATCAGAAAACAGATTGTCCACACAGATGAGGTCTTCTGAACTTCAGCACTGTAACCACGGCAATTACTGTTATTACTGTAAGCACTGTAATAGGGACTGTAACCACACAGGGGATTGCTGATGTCCTTGCGCACAGATGCAGGGGAAGGTCAGGGACCAGCAGCCCAATCCTAATATACTGAAAGGGAGGCAAGGAGTCCTGGCAATCACCAGCTTAGCTTTGGTAACCATGACCAGCCAAAAAGTCTGAGGGCTCAGACTTAAAAATATTCCAAGCCCCATTAAAATGATGGAAAGCAGAACTGAAGTCTCAAGAGTAACACCTTCTGGGTAGCAGTTCTAACCCTTGAAGGAGACGAGAGTGGCAAAGGCCTACCAAGTTTCTGTCCGCAACATTCATGGCAATAGCAACATACTTTAGTTACACTGAGGTATTTTTAGAAACCAGTTCTACTCAGCAGTTTATGCAGCAAAGGCGTATTACCGTGACACGACCTTGAAGAAAGGAAGTTGTCACCTTTGCCCCAGATATCACAGGCGTTTGCATGGCAGCTCAGTGCATGGAGAGACACTTACTGCTTCCATCTCTAATAAAAAGGCAGCAACAGACAGAGCGCAGGGGCCAGCCGTCCCCAACCTGGAGTCCACCATTTGTTTCAAACTGCATCAACCCAACAGTCCTCGGCCCACGGTGAGCCACACTCCAACACTTAAGGGACCTCAAAGGACAGCTAAGACAACATTTTTAAAGGTCTTTCATAAGGCAAGCATTTGGGAGCAAGCGCGGGGAAACCCACGACAGACCATGTTTAAAGCCCTTTAAAGTCCTTGGTGAGGGAGCAAGGTCGCCGGGGCAGGATGCTACCGACGTCCTCGCCCAGTGACCAAAAAGCACGAGTTGTATACCAAGCGGAAACGGAGAAGGGAAGAAGGGAGTTTTATTCGTTTTTCCTTCCAAAGTAAGCTCCATAGCTCAGCTAGAGAAGGGCTGTAGCTCACTGCCAAAGCATCTCCTTTGCACAGGTTCAACCCCCAGCATCTCCCGATGGGACGGGGAGAGACCCCTGGAGAGCGGCTGCCAGCCAGTGTTGGCAACACTGAGCTCGGAAGAACCAGCAGTTTTTCTTTCCCTCCGCCACCGCGGGCTGCGGGCTGCTGCTGTCAAGGACGGAACGCGCGCCACTCCCGTCCTCGCCTTACCCAAACTCGTGCTCCGAGCTCCAGATCTTCATCCTGTCTGTAAAGGCAGCGGCGTTAATGGCGGCTCAGTGGAAAGAACCGGCTTCTCCGCCCCAAAGGAAAGGGCGGCGCTTTTCCCCGGAGGAGGGTGGGCGATGACGTCAGCCGCCTCCCACCCGCCCTTCTTCCCCGCGCCAGCCAATCGCCGCTCCTGTCCGCTGGAAAGACACCCGGCTCGCTCCCGCCTCCCTGCACCCTTCGATGCCCGGGGAAAGGACGCGTCGAGTCCGTGTGAAGACCTTGAACCGGGGACGCCCAGCTCACATTCCTCGCCAGTGACGTCAGGGCTTCGGCTCTGGAAACGTGCCGTTTCTTGCCAATTGCGTGACTCCTCGGTGGATCTTCTCGCGGGTTTGCAGATCCGTAGCGCCTCGGTACCGGCTGCATCAGGCGTGAGCCGAGCGTGGGATTCTAAGGCTGCCCTTGGCATGGGGTGTGTTTTGATTTTTGCCCGAACAGAAAGCAGAAGAGTGGCATCTTGTGTCGTCGTGGCCTCTGACTTTTACTGACTTCAGTCTCACTGGGTTTAGGGTGCGAATTAAGTCAGGTCACACATTTTCACGGAATAAAATCTTCCACGTTTTCTGCAGCGCGTTCGGTCCTATGCACGCATACTTCTTCTGAAGAAGTGTGCATGCACACGAAAGCTCATACCAAGAACTAACTTAGTTGGTCTTTAAGGTGCTACTGGAAGGAATTTTTTTTGTTTTGACTATGGCAGACCAACACGGCTACCTATCTGTAACTTAAGGCAGGCATGTTACATTAGAGAAAATTAAGCAAAACTGGTTTCATAACTGGCCTTGATTTCTAGGGCCATCGCTAGAATACATAGCAGGGGGGGGGACTTGCCTCTGGATTATCACAGAGCTAACATCTACCGATGTCAGTTCTTACACACACATAATTGGGGAGAAAATGTTACTGTATTCTATGCGATTAAGCCCAACTACTTGACAGTAATCAAAACAGAGTCCTCGAAAATACCGAACATAGGATTATGTAACTTTATGTAACTGTGTTCAGTTTCTATTCCCCAATAAATGTGCTTAGGCTTGCAATTTACACCGAACTGTCTCATCACAGAGTTTCTGCGCGGGTAATGTAATGAGAGATGCAATCCGAAATCAGTAGGAAGCGACCGTGGGATTGGGACAATTTAAAATCAAAGAGGATTAAAATATTTCAGATAACTGCAGCTTCCGGCACCTTTTATTGGTGAACTCTCTTCCACTTTCCTGGGTCGAGGTTATCCCGGAGCCACGTGTCTCCGTCCGACTGACCTTGCAAATAAATTCCAAGGCATCACTCTTTCCCCTTCCACATATATGTAACTAACGCCGTCGGGGCCTACGTAACCGACCTAGACGCCATGTGATTTCGGCGCTCACGGACTCCTGATCCACTGGTGCCAACCTGCCTCAGCAGGCACAACCATCACCCTGTAGGCGCGTTTGCCTTGGGTACAACTACCAAGCAGGGGCCGTCTTTTAGCTAACATGCAAGGCTTCAATAGGGTCGTCTCGTTCTTGCACCGGGATGGCAAAAGAGGCGGGGCTTACGAAAAAAGGCGGAGCATGGCGAAGGCTGCGCGCACGCGCAGGAGGGGGTCATGGGGCACCGTGATGGCGTCACGCGCGGCGCCGGGGGCGTGGCCAAAGTCCCCCCAACCACTCGCTCGCCTGTTTGTGTAAGTGAGTGAGTGAAGAGAGCGGTGCTTTGGGGCCGCTGGTCCTGTTTCGGCGACTATGGCTCACCGCTGCCTGTGGCTGTCGCGAGGCTGCTGCCGGCGTTCCCCCGGCGGGATCCCCGGGGCCGCCCAGCGGCTGCTTTGGGGCCGAGGCCCCGCAGCGCCTTCGCGCTACCTGAGATTGGTGAGTCACGTGCGTGTCAGGCAAGGGCAGGGCGCAAGGGGAATGGGGTGCGCCTCCCGGGCACTGCCGCCCTTCCTGGCAGCGCCTGCCGGAGGTGGACCGGGGCCGCCGCCACGAGGAAGTCCCGTCCCCGTGGAGTCACTTGGCAACTGACGTTTCTTATCCCCCCGAAGGTTAAAGGAGAGAACCGGCTTGTGTCGTGGCTGTTTCAGCACCGTAATGGTGACGGTGAGAAATGCTTAGCATCTCACCTTTGCTGCCACATTTGCTAGTCACAGTCCCTTGGTCCAACAAGATCACAAAGGGCTTCGCTGACTGACTGTCAAAGGTTCTTGACGGTTTTGAGAGGGGGGAAAATTAAAAAGCAAATCTTGACCGGTCTTGCCTGGAGATGTCAGAGAGTGAATCTGGAACTTTTTGCAGATGAAAATGGGTTCTACCACTGAACTGCGCTTCCCGTATGCAAAAGGATTTGTATAGTGCTTTTGAGTGTTCAAAGAACTTCCTGTACACTCTTGTAATTTTATAATTATTTTTATTATCTTTCAGCAGCCCTGTAAAGTATATCATTATTATCCCCCTGTTGTATATCGGGTTGAGGGCAAAGTGTGAGTTTGAGAGACAGTGGTTTATTTAACGTCACCTGCTAAATTCATAACAGAAGTGATATGTGAGCTGGTTTCTAGCTCAGATGAGTTGACAGTTGCTTTTATCTGTTCTTTGTAAACTTGCTTCAGCTTCTCATTTGGAAAAGTAAGAGGAGGAATGATAGAGTAAACTGCTTTTACTCACACTGTGGAGGGAGCTTTCACTTTCTTTGATATTTGTGATATTTCATCCCCAGGCAACATTCCAGGTGTACCTATCCAGAGTACCCATTGAGAAATGAAACCAAAGGATATATTTTACATCAGGGGTGGTGCAGGAGAACCTCCGATGATGTAAAAAAATGTGCCAGGATATTTGTGAAACTGGGAGAATGGCTGCTTTTAAATGAATAACCATTATTTCATATTGCAAAAACAGGCCTTCAAGTGGAACCTACTCGCATGTATGAATGTATACAACTGCAGTCTAAGGCTGCAATTCAAACACCCTTTTCTACAAAGGTGTTTATATTGGGCAGAGATGGTGCTGTGTCCAGCCCTGCCAGCCCTGTACCCATGTCAGTTTGTATCCACTGGCACAAACATGCAGACAGATAGCCCTGAAACAGTGTGTTCTGGGGGCAGGGAAGGGCTGAGTCCTGCAGCAGTCACAAAACGATATTAGTTCCATTATGGGCCTGATCACTGGCACAACTCCAGGCTTGGGCAGCTGTTTGCTTGCCATCTCCCCTGTCTGGGCTAGCATGAGCAACTGGGCTGTGGATGCCTTGGTGGTCCCACTGCTCTCCAGCTAGGATTTGGATTGCAATCTAAGGCAGCAATTGTGTGCATGCTTACTAGAAAGTAAGCCCCATTGAAATCTCTGGGATTTATTTGCAATTAAGCATGCATAGGATTGTGCTGAAAAGATGCGGAGGAACTGTCTTGGTTTTTTAGTGACAATTCTCATTTTTTCAGCTTCATGACCATGTGGCCACACAAGTTCCTACAAACAGAAGCAATGTCCTTGCAAGTGTAATTGCTGTTTACAGGAAGCTCTTCTCCCAACCTCCAAAAGGTAATTTTTTGCTGTAAAATAATAATATTATGTAGCTTATTATTATATTATTGACTACTACGCTTATTCATCTTATGTGTTTAAAGCTGCTTAGTCACAATTTTATGGGAAGCGGCATAGAAATAAACATGGTTTTTTCCCCCCAATACCAGAGCTGCATCAGAATGTTTGAAGGAGCATGGCTCTGAGAATGTGCAGAGACCTATTGCCTTGCTACAGAACAATTACACCTTAATTGCATTGCTTCCTCAATCAAAATTAAAAATGTGGCCTGAGCCCCAGCACTTTACTCTTTAGAAGTTAAGCACAGCTGTCCTGCCGTCTTTCCAGCATGTCAGAGAGCAATCTCCCACAAAACTCCTCTCTTGTATTGTTGCACAATGTTGCACCATCACTGAGAAGGGCCTTTCCTTCATGCCCACCAACCTAAATGATCACACTGGTGGTTACATGAGCATGGGTTACTGACAGGTTGATACCTGTTCCCTGAAACTCATGGTGAGGTTATTTTTGGTGAGACTTCACTGCCTCAAGCATAATATAATATACTCATTTTTTATTGCTGCTTTTTTCCTTACTAGGTTTTGAAAAATATTTCCCTGATGAAAAGAAACCTAATGAAACAAAGGGCTCAGAAGGAGAAACTAAAGGTACCAGTCTGTTTTTTCACTTGAGGCTCAAATGTAGAATAAATGTCACTTGGTTATTATTAATTTTGACTGCTCTTATATACAAGCCCATGTTGCTGTGTCCTAGTTTTGACAATGGCCATGAAAGTGGTCACTATTTCCTACAGTTTACTTCTGTCTTGTGAATTCTGTTGTCACATTTTATGTGCCAGGTCTTCACATTGTAGAATTGATATGTTTCTGCTCCAGCATCACCATATTCAATTTCTGAATTCTCTGTTAGATGTTTTTTCCTTGAGCATTTTGATTAACAATCTACATTAACTGGGCCTGTTTATATCCCTGGTTTGTGTGCCTTTTAATGTTTGTTAAAGAATGGAGTACTTTGTATCAGTTAAGAAAGAGGGCCAAAGCTACAGTGACACGGGTACTGTATTGTATTTAAACATAATAAAGAAGGGAGCTGGAAGCTGGAAATGAGTTGGGAAAACTGAGCTTGCACTATCATTCCACTAAAAACTGGATTCTACGGATCAAAAAGCATTATCTGGATGTATCATGATATGTTGTTTGAGACACCCCAACAATAACCAGTTTACACCAGGTTTTCTTCCTAATAGGCTCTCACTGTGTTGTGAGTTCTTACATAATCATTACTGTTCCCCACCTAAACACATGTCCTGGCGTGATGCATCATAATAATCTTTATATACTGCCTTTACTGAATCCTCAGAGGACTTCATCTACATGATATAAGTAGTCTTTGTAACATCTCTGTAACTTAGTCCAGATTCTGAGTGTTAAAAACAAATTGCACATTAAATATGTGACTTCTGTTGTAAACAGCTGCCACACATTTAGGCCCACCCAACCCCCTGATGCTTTCTGGTAGAGCTTTTCTATGCTGTGACATCATGATGTTCTGTGTTCCCTGCACCATGCCATCAGCAGTCAGTGATACAGGGTGGGGAGGCGCAGAACGTTTTGCTGTCGCAGCATAAAGTAAGATCTGTTCCATGGTACGGAGTAAGGTTTGGGATTAGATGAGCGAACGCTATTTTTGTAGACAGCCGTGTGTGTGTGTTGTAACATCTAATCTAGCTGTTAATCTTGTAAGAATCAGTGTTGTGTAAAGATTACAGAAGTAACAAAACAAAGAACTACAGGGAGATAGGCTTGCTTGCTTTCTATTTTTTGTAGAAACATGCGTGTGAACTTTTTTTGTAGATGTAAAGCAAGCCAACTCCCAGCGCCCTTCCAGAACCAACAGTGGAGGAGGAGGAGGAAGCAGTGGAGGAGGAGGGAAAAAAGGTGGCAAGAAAGAAGATACTAACTGGTGGTCCAGAATGCAAAAGGTCCCAATTCATATTTTTTGTGACAATGCTTTTATCAACCTGCTTTATTCTGTTTCGTAGTTCTGTAAAATATTATTACTTCTCTAAATGTTATTCAGATTATTTTCACCATGGGGATACTGTTGACTTATATGGTTTTTTAAACTTAGTTACTTAGTGTTTCTTAAATTTCTCTGAAAGATTATATGAATCTAAGATTTATAGTGGCCCTGACTCAAGGCCCAGTATGCAGTGCAGTAGATTTTGTGGGCTTTTGCAAAGCAAGCATTCCCATTCACCTCAGAAAAGCTCAGCACATTTCATATGTGAATCTGCCTCTCCACCAAGTTAATAGAAAAGGGTTTGTAGGTGGGAATGAAGGCATGACTGTAATTCCGGACACTTTTTCATGTTTTTATGAATAAATCATCTTTGTAGGCTAATGCACAATATTTTTTTATTCTGTAAAAAAATTCTTTTACAAATTGGTGCTTACATAGGACTGCTTTTGTGACAGCAGATCAGAAAACCCACCATTTTCACATACAAAAGTCAGTCTCAATCCAGTATTCCTTCTTCCTCTTCCCCTTTAGGGTGACTTTCCCTGGGATGACAAAGAGTTCCGTTTTTATTTCATGGGCACTGCAATTTTCTGGGCTTTTGCTACATACTACGTTTTCTTCAGGAATGCTGGGAGAGAAATCACATGGAAAGACTTTGCCAACAACTACCTTTCCAAAGGAGTGGTAAGTAGCACTGAGGCACCTTCAGCTGAAATGTACATTTCACAGAATAAGTTATCCATTGCGACTGAATGTAAACCAGGGTAGGCTATAATTTAATTGAAGCTGGAAAGGCTGAGGATGAATTTGTATTAAAGAAAGAAGAAGAAAATTACTGCATGTGGTCAGAACTTCTATTCCAGAAACAAAAGCAATTGGCAAAAAGTAGAGGTTAGTCATATTGTTAGAAAATGGCCTAAGACATTTTGAGCTCCACAGCTCTTTTTAAGGGCATATTATTTATTTGAAACTTCTCCTGCCTTTGCTTCAAAAAACTCAAGGAAAATAATTTAAAATATAAAAATAGCAAGCTAAAAAAACACAACAAGCAGCTATTCAAACTTTTGAAGAGAGTTCAAGAATAAGATTAGTTTAGTGGGCTAAAAGAGAGAACATAAGTTTGCATTTTCTTCAAGAGTGGATAGGTTATTTACTTTGAGAACCTTATTTCTCAGGACTTGCTTGCTCACTGAGGCAAGACAGGGCAGAGCTCTCACTCACACGATAGTTTGGATAAGAAAAGCAACAGAAGGCTGATCTCCTGTTTTCTTTGTGTCTGACACAAGCGGAGTCAAGACCCCACTGACACATTATTATTTCCTGTTGTGTTCTTATCCAAGCCTTGGGCAGCAATATGAAACAGCATTCCACCTTACCCTGTGTCCCTGCATGCTTGCTAGAAGGATCAGAGGAGAAGCAGTGTTTTATCCCACTTGCAGGGAGCTTTGACAAAGTGGAAAGGAACAGAAGAATCAGCATAGTTTCTTTATTCAAGCCCCGAATGCCAAGGAATCAGTTTTATATTTGGGGACCTCTGCTTTTGGAAGAAAGATTTTGAACTTAAAATGTATTGGGCCAGACATTTTAAAGCAGATTTTGGATGTTTTTTATTTTGAAACAGCCCTCAGCAGTTTCAGTACAATAATATCTCACAGGGTCGTGTTCATACAGCAAAAGGGAAGGTCTCTAGCTCAGGGAGAGAGATTATGCTTTACATGCAGAAGGTCTGTGGTTCAATCTTTGGCTTCTCCCAGGAGGAAAAAGTTATTGTCTGAAATGTATTTTGTGCTTTCACAGGTGGACAAGCTGGAAGTGGTGAACAAACGCTTTGTTAGAGTGGTTTTCACCCCAGGGAAGTCGCCAATTGATGGGGTAAATCATTTTTTTCAATTCACCAAATGCATTAAGGGGTTGAATCATTTATGTTTGTAAACATTTCTGTATAGCGTATTAAATATGGATCTGACAGTTTGTTATTTTGATGTATCAGGGCTGTGCTCTGTGCCCTTGCAAGTAAATGACAAAATGTATTGAACATGTGCAGAATCTGATGTCTAGTGCACCTTACATACTGTAGGAATCTCCACATGCTTTTTGCTTAAAGATGCAGAACATGATGTGCAAGTGTGGTTTCTCTGCACCATACCTATTAGGGATTTCACCTGTTACATAGTATTGTATAACACTATAATAGAAATACGTTTGCCATCAATGGGAGACATGGCAGAAGCCCTATACAGTGGTACCTCAGGTTAAGTACTTAATTCGTTCCGGAGGTCCGTTCTTAACCTGAAACTGTTGTTAACCTGAAGCACCACTTTAGCTAATGGGGCCTCCTGCTGCCGCCGCGCCACCAAAGCACAATTTCTGTTCTCATCCTGAAGCAAAGTTCTTAACCTGAAGCACTATTTCTGGGTTAGCGGAGTCTGTAACCTGAAGCGTATGTAACCTGAAGCGTATGTAACCCGAGGTACCACTGTAAATATTTTGCCAGTCTAGCATTCAGAAATGCACATTCAGTGGAGGTGTTTTCTTCAGCAAATAGAAACGATGCAACTAAAACCAGAATATTAAATTTCTGCCTCTAGTTGATACGTATGTATTGTAACTTTTTGGATATTCAATTAAGCTGCTTCTTTATATTAAAATAAGCTTTATAATCTTGTCTCTCTCAGATTAATTTAAAATGCTAGAACCGAGACACCATGAATTATTGTATTTGTTTTTACAGCAATATGTTTGGTTTAATATTGGAAGTGTGGACACATTTGAGCGGAATTTGGAAACTGCACAGCTTGAGATGGGGATAGAAGGGGAGAGCCGGATACCTGTAGTGTATGCAGCAGAGAGTGATGGGTAAGTGTTTTAAATGATTGGAATTGTAATGGATTATATGATATTACCTTTTAGAATTGGCTTGGTGACAAGCCAGTCTCTGGTTGCGCTTGTCGGTAACCCCTGTCATCCACCACTCTCAAATGATTTGGCATATGCATGGGGGAAGAAGGAGGGTTTTCTCTCATTTGCACTAGGCTATGGGAATGTCAAAGAGAGTTGGGGCGAGAACACAGCCCTGTTTCACGCTGCTCTTTATAGGGAAGGAGTCCGAGGATGAGCTGTCATACTGGATGGTGCCATGCACGTTCTTGTGGAAGGACACTGTCATCTTGTAAAGCTTAGGTGGACATCCTACTTGTTGAGACGGGAGTCTGTTCAGCCTAGCACGTCTCCGCACCTAAACATAAGCGCAACGGGTCTTACCTGAGAGATGTTGTTTGCAGATGACACAGCATTTACAGAGCACTCAGAGGAAGCTCTACAGAGACTCGTCAACCGTTTTGCCCAAGCCTGCAAGGAGTTTGGCCTTACCATCAGCCTGACGGGAGTGAGCATCCTGAGCCATTATCAGCATTCCACACATCAGCACTGGTGACCACACACTTTGGGTGGTAGACAAGTCTACCTGGGTTCCACTATAACCAGCAATCTCTCCATCAACGCTGAGCTGGACAAGTGAATTGGCAAGGCAGCTCCAACAATGGCTTTTCACTCCAAAGGTTATGGGAGGATGTGATGCTAATACTAAGATGAAGATCTACCAGGCTTGCGTATTGAGAAGTCTGCTTCATGGTAGTGAGACGTGGGCAACTTACACCTGCCAGGAATGACACTTCAGTGCCTTCCACCTACACTGTGTCAGGAGGATTTTGGGTATCACATAGCAGGACAGAGTCTCCCAAGCCCACGTTCCCACAATGTTCAGACTCCTGTCTCTGCGACTTCTACGTAGTCTTGGTCCTGTCCACAGAATGGAAGATGGCAGAATCCCCAAGGATGTGCTCTATGGAGAGCTGGCATCGGGCCCATTTGCAGACCAACTCTGTATTACAGATATGTCTGCAAACGGGACGAAGACTGGCAACATCAACCCCGCCATGTGGGAATCCCTTGCAGATGATCGCAGTGGCTGGAGACAGGTAATCAGGCTATGCCTCCACAGCATTGACTAGAGGAGGAGCGACAGTTGGGAGGAAGGCAGAGAGAAGAAACACCATGGTGCATCTGCAGCAGCACAATCAGACGCCTTCAGCTGCAGCAAAACATGTCTCTCCCGTATCGGTTTCTACAACCGCAGCATGTGCTGCAACTCTCCCAAGGGTTTGACTTCATCTCCAAAAGTGCACTCCTCCATTTTCTCCTGAGATAGATGAATGCCAACTAATGGGGAATGTAAGAAAGAGCAAGAGATAAAGTTAGCCTGATCTAGGAATTCATTAGCTTTAGCGCACATTTGTGTCATGAATCAGAAAGGTCCTATGAACTGTGCATGATTTGTTGTAGCCCATCATATTTTAACTGAAATTGCACCTTGTTGGGCAAAGTTGCTCATAATGTACGAATGAAATTGCTCTAATGTGTCTCCTCCCCGCCCCATATTTTGTTATGAAACAATGAATTAATACCCAACTTTTATTTTTAGTTCCTTTCTTCTGAGTATGTTGCCAACGGTCCTTATAGTTGGCTTTCTGCTCTACACGTTAAGAAGAGGACCTTCTGGAATGGGCCGAACAGGACGGGGAATGGGAGGACTCTTCAGTGTGGGTGAAACAACAGCCAAAGTCTTGAAGGATGAAATAGATGTGAAGTTCAAAGATGTAGCTGGCTGTGAGGAGGCTAAATTAGAAATAATGGAGTTCGTCAACTTTCTGAAAAACCCAAAACAGTACGAGAATCTTGGAGCAAAGATCCCAAAGGTAAGGAGTTTCAACTTCATTACTTTATTGAGCTCTTTTAGCTGGAGATGAATTTTTTTTGAATTTAGTGACAATTTGCATTATTCCTATATTCTGACCCAACATCAGAATTTTAAAAATATGATCACAAGAATAAAAGCCTTTGATTAGTTTGTGGAATCATAAGAACTGATTTCACATACACTCTGAATCTTCCTTTAGTGACATGAAATTCTCTTGTTCTCTGTGCTTCCCTTTCAGTAAAATGAGGACACTGTTCTTTCTTACTCAAATTTACCTGCAAGCAAATACTATTTGTCCAACTTGATTTTTAAAAAAATCTGAATTAGCATAGGGCCAAAAATTAGGTTAGAGTATTGTTTCCTCATGGATCTTAATAAATAGTGGGTGAATCTTGTGAAGACTTCTTAAACTGACCATCTTGTGTGATCATGATCAAATATTGGTTACTTTAGCTATAATGCGGCTTGCACTCCCATTCAAAATACATTGGTACCTCGGGTTAAGTACTTAATTCGTTCCGGAGGTCCATTCTTAACCTGAAACTATTGTTAACCTGAAGCACCACTTTAGCTAATGGGGCGTCCTGCTGCTGCTGCACTGCTGGAGCACGATTTCTGTTCTCATCCTGAACAAAGTTCTTAACCCGAGTTACTATTTCTGGGTTACTGGAGTCTGTAACCTGAAGCGTATGTAACCCGAGGTACCACTGTACAGTTATGTGAAATTCAAATTACCTTTTCAAGGACTAGAACATTTCAGGAAAAAGAGAAAATTCTGAGTTATTTGTGGAACTAGGACACATGTTATACTTCCCTGAAACAGAGTTCTAAATATATTGACTCATACTGAAGAAAATTTAAGGTGAATATTTGCACTGCTTTTATTTCTTAGTAATGTTTACCCTTTCTCACACCTTACAGGGAGCTATTTTGACAGGACCTCCAGGCACAGGGAAAACTCTTCTAGCAAAAGCAACAGCCGGAGAGGCCAACGTCCCTTTCATTACAGTCAATGGGTCTGAGTTCTTAGAGATGTTTGTCGGCGTGGGTCCTGCTAGAGTAAGTCTTTGGCCTTGCTCTGTTATTGCAGTGTCGGTTGTTAAAAGGACGCAGTCAAGGTTGGTAGGCCAAAAGCTTGATAATTCACTAAATTTCAGTAATGATCAAGATAGCTGTTCATCTTAAATAGCTGGCTGCAAGCTGTTTTAATTAATAACTCTGATATCTCACTCAGTTTCTAGGAAATCTTATTGCCTCAGAGCTGTAGCCCTCTGACTGCATTTTGCCACTGTCGTCTCCTTTTTACTAACAGTTGATAAGGACAAGTGAATGGTATTCTAAACTTGATGGCTGTTGCAGAAAGACTAGATTTATCATCAGTGTACACAAAGGTTCTCCACACTTCTCTACGGAGTTGTGTGGGAAATTTATGCTATTTTAAGTAGTCCCGGCTCTGAGGGAAAGATGCAATTTTAACCAAGGTCTCCTTCATCCAAGTCTAGCTCTTGTACTTTGGACACTGCTGGCTCTTCCAGCATAAAGCATTTGTTTCAAGTATTTACGTAGAAATAAAAACATTGGGCCGGAATTCATTGTTCACTAAGTCTCATTCTGTCAGCACAGGGATTTCTGCTTGTGCAACAGAATGTCCTCCCCCTATGCACCTCCAAATTTGTTCTAAGGGTTTTCCCAATCTTCTGTAGCAGATTTGGGGAGGGCACACAAGCGGGGGGGGGGGAGTCCCATTGCACAAGTAGAAATCCTTGCGCTGACAGGATGTAGTAGTTGAATACCACCCATGGTTCTAAACACTTTTCCAGAGTTTGATTTCTACAGCTTTCAAATTACAGTCATACCTTGGAAGTCGAACAGAATCTGTTCCGGAAGTCTGTTCAACTTCTAAAACATTTGTAAACCAAAGTGTGGCTTCTAATTGGCTGCAGGAAGCTCCTGCATCCAATCAGAAGCCGCGGAAGCCCCGTTGGACATTTGGCTTCCAAAAATAGTTCGCAAACCAGAACAGTCACTTCCGGGTTTGTGGTGTTCGGAAGCCAAAACGTTCAAGAACTAAGCTGTTTGAAAACAAAAGTATGACTGTAAAAGCATTCAATTTATTTCATAACCTAACATGTTAGCTGCAATATAATTTCCTGATAGACGGACAAATGAGTCTAATGTTGTATACAGTGGTGCCCCGCAAGACGAATGCCTCGCAAGACAAAAAACTCGCTAGACGAAAGGGTTTTCCATTTTTTGAGTCGTTCCGCAAGACGAATTTCCCTATGGAAACGTCTTGCGAGTTCTTGTGAGTTTGTTTCCTTTTTCTTTAAGCCGCTAAGCTGTTAATAGCCGCTAAGCCGCTAATAGCCGTGCTTCGCAAGACGAAAAAACCGCAAGACGAAGAGACTCGCGGAACGGATTAATTTCGTCTTGCGAGGCACCACTGTACTATCACTCTGGTGTACAGTGGTACCACGAGTTAAGTACTTAATTCGTTCCAGGGGTCCGTTCTTAACCTGAAACTGTTCTTAACCTGAAGCACCACTTTAGCTAATGGGGCCTCCTGCTGCTGCCGCGCCACCAGAGCACGATTTCTGTTCTTATTCTGAAGCAAAGTTCTTAACCCGAGGTACTATTTCTGGTTAGCGGAGTCTGTAACCTGAAGCATATGTAACCTGAAGCGTATGTAACCCGAGGTACCACTGTATTCTGTAGTGTTGATGGACAACTAGCTGTGTGGCATTACATGATTTTGAAAGTACCTTCTTTCTCTTTCAAAGGTTCGTGACTTATTTGTTCTGGCTCGTAAAAATGCCCCTTGCATTCTCTTCATTGACGAAATAGATGCAGTGGGAAGGAAGAGAGGACGGGGTAACTTTGGAGGGCAAAGTGAACAAGAAAACACACTGAATCAGCTGCTAGTAGAAATGGATGGTAACTATTTGGTTTCTTAAACTTTTATCATTCCTACTGCCACTTACATATAGAGTAACACTTCATTCTTAAACAAATTACCTGGACCAGCTCCTACTGGTATGGAACAAGCTGCATGAGGACACAACCAAACGTTGTTATGAAAACCTATGTCAAAAATCAACTGGCTGTTAAAAAGCAGTAGGGAATGTAGGCAAGTGCTGGTTAGAGCCAGCTTCACCAGCCTGGTGCCCTCCACAAAATACATAAAAAGGTAAAGGGACCCCTGACCGTTAGGTCCAATCGCGAACGACTCTGGGGTTGCGGTGCTCATCTCACTTTACTGGCCAAGGGAGCCGGCATACAGCTTCCGGGTCATGTGGGCCAGCATGACTAAGCCGCTTCTAGCGAACCAGAGCAGCACACAGAAACACCTTTTACCTTTCCACCGGAGTGGTGCCTATTTATCTACTTGAACTTTGACATGCTTTTGAACTGCTAGGTTGGCAGGAGCAGGGACCGAGCAACGGGAGCTCACCCCGTCGCGGGGATTCAAACCGCTGATCTTCTGATCAGCAAGCCCTAGGCTCCGTGGTTTAACCCACAGTGCCACCCACATCCCACAGCGCCACCAAGAAATAAAACAAAAACAAACCAATAACCCCCTCAAGGGTTGGATGGCTTTATTAGTAACATATTTGAAGATGAAAATGTTGTAATTTTTGTTAGTAAGGAAAAAAAGGTAGAATAATATCTATTAGTCACAAGCTGATTATGCCCATTGAAATAAATGGATTTCACTTTTTGATCGATTTCAGTGGCCTATTCACAGTTATGACTGACATTGGATATAACCTAGACTTTATAATCTTTTTTAGGAAGAGAGGGTTGTTGTTTTTTCATGATGCTGAATGAACATAGCAGAAAGCATTTTTCTGTTCTTTTTGTTTTGTAACCTTATTGCTAATTGTATGGGATTGTACATTAAGGTTTGTATCCAACTCTGCCAGTGTCCAAGTGAAACAGACTTCTGTTTGCACAATGGGACCTCTCCCCACTGCAGCCCCCTTGGCACACTCAAATCTGCTCAAGATGGTTGGGGGACATAACCCATAATCTCTGTGGGTGATATCATGATTAACTTAAGCCTATTGATTTCACTTGTTCTACTCTGAGTATAGCTTAGTTGGATACTACTCTTTGACTTGTTTCCCATTTCATAAGCTATTGCCTGCCATATAAGGCCACCTGGAAACCAATGTCCCCACTATGGAAGGACGTGTGGATCCAGAACTGGCCTCCACAGTCACTTACAGACTCATTGTTAAAACCGTATTTATGGAAGACAATCTTACTCGGCTGTGAGTGATCGCCAGAGAAGAAGTTGTAGGCTGTAGTAGCAGTGGTTCAGAATTTTGAAAGTACCTTGTCCTGTGAATTGTAAGCACTCATATTACATAGTATGCAATAGCTTTGCGTCTTTTCCTCATTCTTTAACATGGTGTAGTTCTCTTCACCTGCTCAGTCGTTAAGTCCTTGACGGAAGGCGGAATTGCCAATACTCTGGTCACTTCAGAATTTACAAAATAGCATGCTTAAGATTCACAGTAGCCTTTTGGAAAAACCATTTTCGCTACTGAATATTTAATATTTTGGTTTTTATTTTCTTCACAGGTTTTAATACCACAACAAACGTAGTTATTTTGGCAGGCACGAACAGGCCAGATATCCTGGACCCTGCACTTATGAGGCCAGGACGTTTTGATAGACAGATCTTCATTGGTAAGTTATCTTGGTAGACAGCTTTGACCTCATAAAGATGTCAACTCAAAACTATGAGAACAGAGAGGAGATGTTAGCTAAAGCTGGTCAGTGGAACTATTAGAAAGCAGAAATGTTTGCAATTGTAAAGTTAATTGCTTTTTCTTTAAACTCTTCAAGGGCCGCCAGATATAAAGGGAAGAGCATCTATTTTCAAAGTTCATCTTAGGCCCTTGAAGTTGGATAGCAGCTTGAATAGAGATAATTTAGCACGAAAACTTGCATCACTTACTCCTGGATTTTCAGGTAGGTGATCTTTTACTCCTGTGCAATTGGTACGTTTCTAGAAATATTATTTTCTCATTTTTAGGAGGAAATTGTGATAACAGATTCGAGGTGGACTGAGGTTAGCTCTGTATCTACTGCAGAATTTGCATGATTCATAATCAGCAAGGGTTTCTGATTCCCCATTATTTAATAATAGCAACAACAAGACTACTCTCCCCCACCCTAAAATGTGCAGCTCTGCGGGAACTTTAGTTATTGTGCTTGATTGCATATCTGGTTATCCTCATTGTGTTAAGTGATGGATGTTATGTTTGGAAACGGCTCTGTTTATTGTCTCCTCACTCTTTTCTTTTAGGTGCGGACATAGCTAATGTATGCAATGAAGCTGCCTTAATTGCTGCACGACATCTTTCAGATGCCATAAACCAAAAACACTTTGAGCAAGCAATTGAACGAGTGATAGGAGGTGAGAGGGTATCCCTTTGTGATTACATTTCTTGCAGTGTTGTGGGTCAGTTCTTTTGTTCATCTCTTTATTTAATTGCTGGATACAAACAATAATCTTTCTTGATTATGGTGGGGAGGGCAGAAGAATTTTAAGGAGCTAGTTCTCCAGTGTATCAAACAGTAAATCTTTCTCCCTTATTTGCAATAGTCTGTTGAGTGTGAGGCCTAACTATCTCAAGTTGAGGAGAGGATGGAGGAAACCCCAAATCTGTTGGTTCTAGGGGGCTATCTTATCACCAGTTTGGAAATCTGCACCTCAGTAGTAAAGTTTTGGGTTTTTTAAATCAAAGGTTTGGAAAAGAAGACACAAGTATTGCAACCAGAGGAGAAAAAGACAGTAGCGTATCATGAAGCTGGCCACGCAGTTGCTGGGTGGTTTTTGGAACATGCTGATCCACTTTTGAAGGTATGTTGACTTGGCAAGACGCTTGCTGTACAACGATCACATTTGGATAATCAGAATTTGGCTTAGTAAGTTTAGATATGAACGAGCCTTTTGCCTTCACACACAGACCCTTCATTCTTTGCTTTGCAGCATGAGAAATCGAGTCGCTTAACCTGAGTTTCCCATTTCATCCAAACCAGGAAGCTATGGTAACTAGCTTTGGAATAAGTCAGGATATTAAAACATTTGGTTAAATGCTGGATTTATATTAGCCTGGCTTATTCTGAAGCTGGTAACCATAGCTTCTTAGTTTGGACAAAATGCAAAATTATGGTTAATTACAAGCTTCTAGATATTAGAGGAAGTTTTTTAAAAAGTGCTTGCACTGTAACTGGGATACGCGTGCAAGCAAAAAGCTTATTAACCTGAGGCATGATTGTCTGAATTGTGTCAATTTCTTCAACTGGTAAATGTTAAAAGACTATCATTTTCAGATTAGAAAAAAATATGGGTTGGTAGCTTTAAGTGGATATTTTAGCCACTGCTCAAAGAAGATATGGTGGGATGTGTTCTGAATCATGAACCAGGAACTACAAGGGATCTGAGCCACAGTAATCTTCCTTAACTAGGGGTTCAGAAACTGGTAGGAAAATGTATTCAAGAAGAAAGGGGACATGGCACAACTACAATCAAGGATCTCTCACAAAGGCTTGCACATGGCTGCATTCCAGCTCAGTTCTTAAGAGCAAAGTATATGCAGAATTTTGTGTCTTTATCAGGCCTGCAGATGCATTACCAGGAGTCAACCTTAAATAAAGGGAATCTCAATTCTGCTTAGAGATCAGGGTACATTCTAGCATTTCAGCTTCCTTCCAGCAACTATGCTAATCATAAATAGCATAGCAATCAGAAAGGAGGAACAAAGTATATTCTATCTCACTTCCTCTCTGAGCAGCTGCTGAGGAAGCAGTAGAAAGTGTGGCAGCTTCACTCACTTCCATGCCAGTTGTTGCCACTGCTTTGAACTATGGGAAACAGTTCTGTCCTTCCTACTTATCTGTCTGGAAAAAGTAAAATTATTATTATTTCTTGAATTTCCTAGCAGAGGAGTTCTGCTAGCTTCATACCCTCCCCAACCACCTCTGTGATACTTGCACATTGATGATAATTCTATGCCATCAACCTTGGCTTGATTCATGGAGCATTTTGGGATCTGCTGTGACAGGAATAGTTTAGACAAACCCTTTTCCCCAGGTCAGTCAGGTTTGTGGCTGCCATTAGCTGTTTGCATGTGTTCCAGCTGGAATAAGCTGGATTGTTTAAGTATTTCTTTTCTTCCCTTGCACAAGGTATCTATCATTCCTCGTGGCAAAGGACTGGGTTATGCTCAGTACTTGCCGAAAGAGCAGTATCTTTACACCAAAGAGCAGCTGCTGGACAGGATGTGCATGACTCTGGGTGGGCGTGTGTCAGAACAAATCTTCTTTGGAAGAATCACAACAGGGGCCCAAGATGATCTAAGGAAAGTTACTCAGAGTGCATATGCTCAGGTTTGTATGCCTCTCAACTACTCTGTATTTTTATATTAAAAATTACTGTAAAAGATTATTGTTTGTACTTTTTTGGTATTGTTTTGATATGCTTTATACACCACTCATGCCACAAAGATACTTCTGATATCTGGTATATATTAATGATTTGTTATGGAGGCTTGCTTCCCTCTCCCCTACTAAAGTCTAGCACTGTTTCTTCCTGGGGGAAAAATAATAATTTGTATGCTGGTGGTACATGTTAATATTTATATTTTTGTAGTATACAATACTTTACAATTTGTAGTGCATTTTGATGCCTGGATGCTACTATTGGTTGTCTAATATTTTATGAATACTTCAAGAGCCAGATTATTGATGCAATAGATTTCTAACAGTTTTGTAATTAGTAATGACCATACTCAAACACTAACATTAACCTTTCCCAGTAAGCGTACATGGACTATTACAGGAATAAATACAATTGCGAAGAGCTGGTTTTTACTTCAGGGTTAAAATCCTGACAGTAATGTAGAGCAGGGTTGGAGAACCTGGGACCCTCCAGGTGTTTGACTCCATTTCAGCCACAGCCATGATGGGAGTTGGAGTCCAAGAACATCTGGAGGGCCACAGATTCCTCATCTCTGGTGCAGGGTTTGGTTAGTTGCAACTGCTAATACTAAAGTATTGTAGCTAGAGTAAAGACTTAATATTTTTCATAGCATTCTTGACTAAGGCACTTAAAAATGTGTGTCATTCAATCCTCAGATTGTTCAGTTTGGAATGAATGAAAAAGTTGGGCAAATTTCATTTGAGCTTCCTCGGCAAGGAGACATGGTATTAGAAAAACCATATAGTGAGGCAACTGCAAGACTGATAGATGAAGAGGTGCGAGTGCTTATTAATTCAGCTTACGAACGGACATTGTCTCTCCTAAATGAGAAGAAGGCAGAGGTGGAAAAGGTGCGTATTCATTTGCCTACAGAAATGGTTACCAGGTTCTTTGATCAATATGCTGCTAAAACATTGCTGTTTTATACACAGCATATGTGTTAGTGGGGTAGCAGGACTCTACAAGTTATATTATGCCCTTATTTGTCCTTTATCAGATTTACACAAGAATAGCAGCTCTGCCTATTACTTGCTTAAGCAATAATGAGGTATTGGCTCAGGACCACAATACCTCAAGGACCTCCTCTCCATATGAACCTACCTGGACCCTGAGATCATCCACTGAGGCCCTTCTTTGTGTGCCTCCTTCACGAGAGGTCCAGAGGGTGGCAACACAAGAACGGGCCTTTTCTGCAGTGGCTTCCCATTTGTGGCACCAGTGTGGTGTAGTGGTTAAGAGCAATAGACTCGTAATCTGGGGAACCGGGTTTGTGTCTCCGCTCCTCCACATGCAGCTGCTGGGTGACCTTGGGCTAGTCACACTTCTTTGAAGTCTCTCAGCCTCACCCACCTCACAGAGTGTTTGTTGTGGGGGAGGAAGGGAAAGGAGAATGCTAGCCGCTTTGAGACTCCTTCGGGTAGTAATAAAGCGGGATATCAAATCCAGACTCTTCTCCTTCTCCTCCTTCTCCTTCTCCTTCTCCTTCTCCTTCTCCTTCTCCTTCTCCTTCTCCTCCTTCTCCTTCTCTTTCTCTTTCTCCTCCTTCTCCTTCTCCTTCTCCTTCTTCTTATACACCTTTAAGTGCCAGGCGAAAATGTTCCTCTTTAACCATCCAATTCCCTTTTAAATGTATTGGGGGGGGGTTATTGGTTCATTTTTGCTCTCATTTTATTATGTATTTTGTATTTTTTGTATTGTGGGTATAGGGACCTGCAGGTATAGGGTGGTAATAAATAATAATAATTTCCTTCTTCATGACGTGAGGATGTATACGTGGCTCTTTCCCTAACACTAAAATGATTGGGGCAACTCTGCCTCAGAGAAAGCAAAATGTGTGCATTCCTTAGGAAGTTTGGAACCAGGATGCATTGATATAATCACATCCTGTTGGTGCGTCATGGGAATACCTTGCAGTAGTGAGCTTCTTAATGGTTAGTTTTTAGAGTATGATTGACTAGACTCTAGCATTAGAAACAATGTAGAGGAGGTTATAGTAGCTATTGGTAATATGCTACTTTTGATTCTGTTATACACAGTGAAAGGTTAAGTCCTTGGTTATTATTTTGCATGCCGTGGAAGAAAGCCAGTTTACATTCTTTACCTTCTGTACAAATTGTGTGATATGTGTGCATATTGTTTCAGGTTGCTTTACAACTCCTAGAAAAGGAGGTTTTGGATAAAAGTGATATGATTGAAATGCTTGGCCCCAGACCATTTGCTGAAAAATCTACTTACGAAGAGTTTGTTGAAGGCACAGGCAGTTTAGACGAAGACACATCACTTCCAGAAGGCCTTAAAGACTGGAACAAAGATCGTGAGAAGGAGAAAGAGGAGACGACAGATGAGCAGATTGCCAGACAGATTACAGGAGACATGCCTTTTTAGTGTTGAAATATGGTGTTGTATAAACTGGCACAGTGCATGTGTTGCACACTGAAAGAAAATGAGGGAACATGTCAGAGTCTAGTCTTCAAGAATCCTCAGTTGGAAAGAAGCAAGCCTGCAGCAGTGGTAGAGCCAGGAAAGGTTGTATTTGACAGAGGAGGATTCAAATTCTAGTAGGTCCTGCTTCCTAAAAATCTGCACAAAAAATGTGGAGACCTTGCAGCTTATGGATCTGGACTGAGTCCCCTTCTTTCAACTTTTTAGATCCATATCCGAGTTGTGCAACTCTTGCCCATCACCAGATACATTTAAGAGGACCTAGATTAATGTACTGTCATGGATAACGGGGGGAAATCATCTGCCTGTCTTTAAGTGGCCTCCATCAAATGCAAGTTGTTAGCACACAATAAATGCGTTGCTGGTGCTTACCAGGAGTCAAAGTAATTTATGACAATACTTCTTCTATTCTGCAGAAACATCTACTTATCACCCAACTCTATAAATTTATTTCTGCCTTTCCATTTGTTAAACAAAGCTGTGCTGGTGTCCATCGTGAAATTTGAAGCCTGCTAAAGAGCTTTTCCAATAGAATTTTGGGTCCGAGGCTGGAATAATGTGTAAAGTCTAAATTATATTATTGCTGTTTTAATAAAGGTTTCTTTTTTTACTGGCAGTTGTACAGTATTGAACATATGATTGTATTGTATTTTGTAAATACAGTTTGGAAACATTAAAGAAAATTGGCACACTGGACTTCATGAAGAAATTCTCCAGTCAAGAGAGGCTATAAATAAAAGCGTTCTGTGGTAAAATTGTATATTTATGTATAGATGATGCATCTATGGCTGTTGTTGGGTGGAAGGCCTAGAGGAAATAACTTTTCAGAATGTGATTGCCACACTAGTCATTGAATTTGGTATTCAGGGTGAACCTGGCATCACCACAAACCAGGAAAAAGTGACACCAAGTTGTCTTGCTCTCAGCTGAAATGGAGTATTGGAGCAGAAGCCGTTCATGAGGTCTGTATCCATGAAGGATATGGATGCTTGTATTAACAGAGTGTAGACATTGAAGATTATTAGCACATATTACTATCACTCCTATTTGTAAGCCGTTACTGTGCCAGTTAAGTTTTGGGAAATAATTTGATCTACCTCAGAGGGGAAAGTAGGCAGATTATCTTTAGTGGTGACTGGGAGTGGCCACTGAGACTATATAACACCAGTCCTTAAAGACCAGTACGTTTCCAAGCACAATTCCAAGTATTGGTGCTGACCTTTAAAGCCCTAAATGACCTTGGCCCTGTGTACCTGAAGGAGCGTCTCCACCCCCATCATTCAGCCGGGACACTGAGGTCCAATGCCGAGGGCCTTCTGGTGGTTCCCTCACTGTGAGAAGTGAGCTTACAGGGAACCAGGCAGAGGGCCTTCTCGGTAGTGGCGCCTGCCCTGTGGAACACCTTCCCTTAAGATGTCAGGAAAATAATTCTCTGACTTTTAGAACACATCTGTTTAGGGAAGTTTTAATGTTTGATGTTTATCGTGCTTTTAATATTCTGTTGGGAGCCACCCAGAGTGGCTGGGGAAACCCAGCCAGATGGATGGGGTATAAATAATAAATTATTATTATTATTAGTGTTTTCCCAATGCTGGTTGGTGCCCATTGGGACTGGTAGGGTAGAAGGCAGAGAGACCAACTGTAGCTGGACCCAGAACCAGTAAAAGGCAGGAGCCACCTGACTGGTTGCTAAGTAAGAAGGCAGGCAGGTAAGAGCTGGCTGAAGGCAGGCATATTTATGAGGAAGTGTCCTAGTTGCCCTTAGTGACAGGCCACCGCTGTGCTTTCCGTTTCTTATATTTTCTAAAACCCAGAAGTATCTCTCTGAAGAGCAGCAGCAAACGTGTATGTAGTAACCCTCAGCTGTACCAGAGCATTCTAACCAGATATTCAATTTACTTTTCATACGCTTCTCTGTATTACTGCAAGTTCTGAACCCTACATCTCTAGGCATTCCTGCCTGGAATAAGTCTCTATTGACCTCAGTTGGGCTTTTGAGTTGACATGCATAGGATTTTGCTATGAAATTCCAGACACTGCAGGTGGGATTTTTAAGGTTCATACTATACTTCCAAGTTTTAAACATTTTCAAATTGGAGAACAAGCTCAGCAAATGGGAGGTCTGTCCATACGCTTGTTTGCTCAACTGCTGTAGTTGGGGGAAGTGGATGAGGCTTGAAAATGTTGAAGAGAAGGAAATATCCAGACATGAAATAACATGATGCTGTAAGTAAATTTGAATGTTGCAAGGCATACTTAAGTCTCTTAAGAGGGAAGGGGAAATTTGCATGTATATCTTGGCAACACAGTCAACAAAACAAAAATGGAGAATGAAAATGAAAGGGCAAATACTTCCTACGCAGGAAAGTATCACGTTTGTTAGCTTGTCAATATGGAGGTCTCAAGCTTTCTGTGATGATAAGTCTCTCATACAACCCCTGCCTCTGCTGCAGAGAATTCTGGCAAGTTTTGGAAGGCTCACACTTGATTCACACAGAGCACTTGTTCAGCCTTTTAGTTCAGAATCACCTTGTGTGAACTGACAGCACTTGTGAAAGGCACAGGAGTGAGAAAGGTTATGTGTGGGCATGTGCACTTGAATGAAAGATCTAACCATTTAACTATGCCAACTCAATATTTTAAATGAATGGAGAAGCAGAACACCTCTGATTGATTCAACGTAGAATGTGTGATGCAGACGCAAAGCTTTTTCAACCCCAGTGAAGGACACGGATTCTATCATAAAATTGTGTGAGGCTTGACATTATCCCAGCTACTAGCAAAGAAATGATGGGGGTTTTTTAGTCTTTAAATGTCCATGTTTGGGCATTCATTTATATGCATTCAATATACGAAATATTAGATTTTTTTCCATTCCTTTTATTAACAGAGTTTGTTCCCAGCAACTCAATACTATATACTTAGTACAGAATAGCACTCAAAAGCCTCACTAACACTGCAAAACACATTTACTTTGATGATGCAAGTCCTGCTGGTATCAACACTCACTTTCAAGTAACTGTGCTTAAGATTGCAGCCTAAGGTGATTTTTCTGATTCACAGTTTGAGGAAAACAATATAGTCCTGAAAAATAAGTCTGTTATATTCTTTACTATCCTGGAAAAGATTAGAACTAGAGCTAGCTATTCAGACTTAATAATTTTTAGAACAGCATTTGATAGACTTCATTCATTAATTTCTTCCTCCTCGTCTTCAAAAATTTCCTCTCCATCATTTGCTGTAGCTTCTTGGTACTGCTGATACTCGGACACGAGGTCATTCATGTTGCTCTCTGCTTCTGTGAATTCCATCTCGTCCATTCCTTCTCCTGTAAACCAGTGAAGAAAAGCTTTTCTCCTGAACATGGCTGAGAATTGCTCTGAGATTCTTTTGAAGAGCTCTTGGATAGCTGTGCTGTTGCCGATGAAGGTAGAGGCCATCTTGAGGCCACGGGGTGCGATATCACAAACAGCCACTTTGACGTTATTTGGGATCCATTCCACAAAGTAGCTGCTGTTCTTGTTCTGGATGGCCAGCATCTGTTCATCAACTTCTTTCATGGACATGGGACCTCGGAAGACTGTAGCTACTGTCAAATACCGTCCATGTCTTGGGTCGCAAGCTGCCATCATATTTTTGGCATCAAACATCTGTTGCGTCAGTTCTGGGACTGTGAGAGCCCGGTATTGTTGGCTCCCTCGGGCAGTCAGTGGAGCGAATCCTGGCATAAAGAAGTGTAGGCGTGGGAATGGGACCATATTCACTGCCAGCTTACGCAGATCTGCATTTAGCTGACCAGGAAAACGCAACGATGTCGTTACCCCGCTCATTGTAGCGGACACCAAGTGGTTCAGATCTCCGTATGTTGGAGTGGTAAGCTTCAGAGTGCGGAAGCAAATATCATACAAGGCTTCGTTATCAATACAGTAGGTTTCGTCTGTATTTTCAACCAGTTGGTGGACTGAGAGTGTGGCGTTATATGGTTCCACAACAGTGTCAGAGACTTTAGGAGATGGCATGACACTGAATGTATTCATTATCCGATCAGGATATTCCTCTCGGATTTTGCTGATCAGTAGTGTTCCCATCCCAGAACCTGTTCCTCCTCCAAGAGAATGAGTGAGCTGAAATCCCTGCAAGCAATCACAGTGTTCACATTCTTTTCTTACTATATCAAGCACTGAATCTACCAGCTCTGCTCCTTCCGTATAATGTCCTTTGGCCCAGTTATTTCCAGCTCCTGTTTGTCCTGAGGTAACACAACAAAAGGGGAAGAGGTAAATAGGTTTACAACTCATGAAATAATAAGGAACTTCAAAATATTCCTATTTATCCACTGTATGCATTTAAGCATAGACTTTGTGGGAAACCTTTAAATAGAGTCACACCGAGAGCTCATTTAACTGCCAAATGTGTCCAAAATGTCCAAAACATTCCACATGTTCCTCAAGTACATAGTGGCATGATGGCACGACAGAAGTAACATAAAATGCTGCACTGTTTTGACTACAGTGGAACCTCGTGTTACGGACAGGATCCATTCCGGAGGCCCATTCGTAACACGGAACTGACGCAAGCCAAAGCGCTGTGTCTGCGCACGCACAGGGCCCGATTTAGCCTTCTGCGCATGTGCAAGCAGTGAAACCCAGAAGTAACCCATTCCAGTACTTCCAGGTTGCCGCAGGATGCAACATGAAAACACATAACCTGAAGCAGACACAACATGAGGTATGACTACATTTAAAACCAAGGTGTTGCTTTCAGCATGTCCAAAAGCACTCCATAAATCTGTAATTATTTATACAGACATTTTTAATAAAAAATATTATTTACAAAAGAGAATACCTCATAGACCCACACTTTAACTGGACCACTTATTTTCCAATCACAGATAAACTTAGTCTGTGCATCCCTCGTTCTCCTTGCACTTTTTAAAGACCGACACATATGACTCTCTAAATTTACAATTTAGAGCCCACTACTTCATTTTTGTAAAAGATTTCAGTAAAGTCACATAGAAATGCACCGGCAATCTGCCTGTAACTTGTGAGTGACGTGCCCTTTTCTGACTTAGAGAAAGACATTGGCCCAAACTGCCTGTAAACAAGGGTTACCTCAGAGTGGGGAACTGTGACACTCCAGATGTTTTGGGGCTTTAATTCCCATCAGCCTAAACCAGCATGGCCAATGAAGCAGGGATGATGAGTTCAACAACATCTGAGAAGTCACAGTTTTCCCACCCCAATTTACGTTTTCCTTCCTGTTTTCACCATCTGTTAGAAGGAAAGCAGCAGTGCTTGCAATAGGTTACCTGACCCAATGGGGATGAGAGACAGAAAGGCAACATAGTCTTCCCTTGCTTATTCCTTCTTAAGTCACCACCTACAGATTGTTTTCCTCAGGCTTTACTTGCTTCCTCTCCCCCCTCCCATCAGTCAGTATTAGACCTTTTTGTTAACCTCATGGCTCCATAAAGGCCATATGAGCTTGTACCCAGAACGGTTCGTTTGCCAGGAGTAATAGGTTTCTTTCTTCTTTCAACCAGCGGTTGAAAGAAATAAACAATTTATTTCTGCAGTTTGCTGCAATATATACTCCAAACTCCAACATAATCTACTTGATAAGTTTAGCCAGCATTTGTAACAGACAATTATATACATACCAAAGATGAAATTATCAGGCCGAAAGAGTTGTCCAAATGGACCAGACCGCACACTGTCCATGGTTCCAGGCTCCAAGTCCACCAAGATTGCTC